CTCTCCTCCTCCACAGTAACAATAAGGATTTGAATCTTTCCTTATGTATATATTTCAGATTTAAGTGTTTTGAGTGCATGTATGTACATGCACCACCATCCATATACATTCCTGGTGCCCACAGGGGTCAAAAGAGGGAATTGGGTCTCCTGGAACTGGAGTTACAGATGGTTGTGAGCCAGCATGTGGGTGCTGGGAACTGAATCCAGGTCCTCTGAAAGAGCAGCCAGTGTTTATCAACACCGTGTCATCACCGTGACAATCTAAAAGATTTGTCTTTTAGCATTCATTTCTTCCGGCAAAACATGGGAACTCTATGTTTGCTATTTAATTTTATTCCCAGCACTTTATAATGCCAGGAACAGTTGATAGTCTTTTTCTTTCTTTTACCTCTTCGGTTTTTCTGTATAGTGTATTTTTAAAGGTTTATTACTTTACACATCAGTTGTTTTTTGCCTGCATGTATGTATGTGCACGCACACATGCCTGGTACTCTTGAAGGTCAGGAGTGTTGGGGTTCAGGCATTATGCTGGCCTGCCCGTTATTATCCGGCGGGATGCACTCAGGCAGTACCCTGGCCAGCCCAGGTTCCTATGGCTGCTACTTCACTATACAGTCTGCAAGCAGATGCAAAGGTTTCTTTAAGAGGCAAACTCCGCCCACCTCCTCTCTCTTTCCATCATCTCTCTGAGGCAGATAGCTCTTTGTTCTCTGTCTCCCCCTTCTCTTCTTTCTCTCTCCTTTCTCTCTTCCCTCTCTCCATCTATTCCCTTTCCTTCCCAATAAAACTTCCTTCCAATGTAAGTTGTGCCTGATGGAGTGTTTGTTCCCTGCCATGGGATCAGCCATGGTCCCACTTCCAGTTGTATTATAACAAGGAGCAAGCCTCAAATCCCTCGGGACTGAGGTTACAGACAGTGGTTGTGAGCTGCCACGTGGGTGCTGGGAATCTAGCCTGCAAGAGCAACACGTGGTCTTATTGGCTGAGTCAACTCTTCACCACTTAGTACACTACTTTGAATTACTTTTTCAGACAAGGTCTTATCATGTATATAACACTGCCTGTCCTGAAACTTGCTATATAGACCAGTTTGACCTTGAACTCACAGAGATCTTCCTGCCTCTACAGCTGAGTGCTGGGAATAAATGTGTGTACCAACTACGCCCAGCATGAGCATCATCTTAAGAAATAAAAAAACCCAACAAACTTTAATTTATTTATAATGTATATGAGTATTTTGTCTGCAAGCATGTATATGTATCATATGTGTGCCTGTTGTCCCTGAGGGTCTCAGATCTCCTGGACTAAAGTTTAGGTAGTTTGTGAGCTGCCTTATGAGTTGCCATATGGGTTCTGGGAACTGAACTTGGTCTTTTGCAAGAGTTAACAACTGCTCTTAGTGAATGAGGCATCTCTCCAGGCCCAAATGTCTATATTTTGAAGTAAAAACAAAGCGGGCAAAGGAAATTATGGGCTAAGAAACTATGGGCTATATCCTAGCATAGCTTTTTTTTTTTTTTTTTTTTTTTTTGGGTGTGTGTGGGGCCATAGGGGTAGTTGAGACAGGGTCTCTCTACATAGGCTGTTCTGTAACTATGTAAAACAGGCTGGCCTCAAACTTACAGGGAACTATTTCTGCCTCTTAAGTGCTGGGACTAAAGGCATTTGCCATCAGGACTCTTGTAGCGGTTTTATTTTTCTCGGATGGCTTTACTATTTAGCCCAGGTTGGCCCTGAACTTCAGAACCTCCTGTCTCCGTCTCCTCAGTGCTAAGATTACAGGCCTTACCAGCATGCCTACATGGTTTCATGTTGTCTTTTTGTTTTTGCTTGCTCTCTTAAAAAGATTTTTTAGTTGTGTGTGTGTGTGTGTGTGTGTGTGTGTGTGTGTTTGTAGATATATACATTTGAGTACAAGTGCCTGAAGACAACCAAAAGTGGCTCTCCAATCCCTGGATATGGAGTTGTGGGAGGTCATGAGTCTCCTGACTGGGTGCTGGGAACCAAATTTAGGTCTTCTGCAATGGGAAATAGTTAAGCCATCCAGACCCATTTTTATTTTTGAGACAGGGTCTCACCTAGGCTAGGCTGGTCTCAAACTGTCTATGTAGCTGAAGCTGCCCTTGAATTCCTGACCCTGTCTCCACTTTAAGTGCTGGGATAATAAGCATGTGCCACCACTCACAGTTCAAATTCTCTCTCCTCCCTGACAGGTTCCAGGTATCCTTGGCATCCTTGAACTTCTGGTCCTATGTCTCCATCTCCCAAGTGTTGGGATTAAAAGTGGGCACCAGTACCCGAACTTTAAATCTGCCTTTTTATTGTGATGTGTTCCTTACAAAACCAGTCACACAACTCTTGCCATCCATCAAGGGATCTATGTGGGCTGTTGTTGACCCACCCACAGCCCAAATTGGCTAACAGAGAAGCCTTAGATGACCCGAGAGCTGCAGTAAGGACTTACCAGACCACATCAAGTTCAGGCGGGTCCACATGGACAGTGGCCCGGCCACGGTTACGGGCCTTGAGACTGGGAATTGTGCCAGCCGCCCCTGGCCAGAGCAGTCCGCAGTTCTAAGCAGCATGAATGTCCTAGGAGGCAGAGACCTCATGGTCCCAACATGCACCGCGTGCCTCTTACATCACTACAGGGCCGCTCCTGCGAGAGAAGCGCCAAAAGCTTTCGGTTGCCAGGCAACAAGGCAGCAGCTCCCAATCATTTGCCAGCTTTTGGCTGAACGCGGGAAAAGGAGATGCAGGCGAAGAGTCTTGTGAGTAGTTTTTTCCTTACATTTATTTTCTTCTCGTTTCCTTCCTCTTCCCCTAAAGCCCCCTTTCTTTCCTTCCACCTCCTTTCTCCTTCCTGTCCTTTTCCCACTCCCTTTCCTACCTACCCTTCAGCTATGCTGACTGGCCGATGAAACAGAAAAAGAAGGAAGCCAGCCAGTGTGTGCCCCTCGTCTTCCACAGCGAGTGTTCCTTGCTGCTGCTGAAGTTTTGGACATCAGAACCTAGCTTCTCAGACGGACTGTGGCTGGATCATCTGTTCCTCTTACGATTTTTTTTAAATTGAAAATATTTATTTACAATATATAATGTTCTACACGCATGTTTGCCTACAGGCCAGAAAAGGGCACCAGATCTCATTCAGATGTTTGTTAGCCACCATGAAGTTGCTGGGAATTGAACTCAGGACCGCTGGAAGAGCAGCCAGTGCTCTTGACTACTGAGCCATCTCTCCAGCTTTCCAATGAAGTACAAAGCAATGCTTTTCTTCCTTCCTTCCTTCCTTCCTTCCTTCCTTTCTTTTTTAAAGTGGGTTTTGAAACAGATTCATGTAGCCCAGGCTGGCTTTGAACTCTCTATGTAGCCAAAGATGACATTGAACTGATGATCTTCCTGCCCGTACCTCCTAAGGGCTGGAGTTGCAGCCATGTGCCACCTGCCTAGTTTTAGGAAATGCCAAGATGCTTTGAGCATACTAGGAGAGCATTCTTTCAACCATGCTATACCCTTTTTCTAGGATATTGAAGCAGAGTTCCACTGTATAGTCCAAACTGCTTCCAAGTGTGTAATCCTCCCGTTTCCCAATGCTAGGGTTACAGGTGCCTCTCCTTCCTCTCTCACTACCCCTATCTTTTGCAATGCTGCAGATAGAACCCATCGTTTTGTGCTTGGTAGGCGAGTACTCTATCATTGAGCCACTCCTCCCCACCCCCCAGCTTACAAATTGTGGTTTGAATAAAAATGGCCCCAGGAGGTCCACAGCGAGAAGCACTATTAGGTGTGGCCTTGTTGGAGGAAGTGTCCCACTAGGGGTGGGCTTTGCGCTCTCAGAGGTTCAAGCCTGACTATGCCTTCTGCCATCTGCAGATCCAGATGTAGAACTAGCAGCTGCCTCTCCAGCACCATCTCTGCCTGCAAGCCACCGTACCCGCCATAATGGTGTTTTCCTTTATAAGTGTCACCATGTAGCCCGGCAGGTGGATCTATGTGAATTCGAGGCCAGCCTGGTCTACAAAGTGAGTGCCAGGACAGGCTCCAAAACTACACAGAAACCCTGTCCCCTGTCTCCCCCCCCCCCCAAAAAAAAAAGTGCCACGGTCATGGTGTCTCTTCACAGCAATAGAAACCCTAAGATACAAACCAATGTTTTTTTAACTAAGTGTAATTTTTAAATTTATGTATATGCTTTTCTGTGCATATACCAGACATGTGCAAGCAGCTGCAGAAGCTAGAAGAGAGGGTAGGAGTCCTTGGAGCTGGACTTAAAGGCAGCTGTGGGTGCTGGGAACTGAACCCAGGTCCTCTGCAAGAGCAGCAGGTGCTCTTAATTGCTGAGCCACCTCCTCAGACCCTTTTTGTGTGAAATATATATATATATATATATCCCCTTTTTCAAGACAGGTCTCCTCTTTGCAGCCCTGGCTGCCTTGCCACTTGCTTTGTAGACCTGGCTGGCCTCAAACTCAGAGATCCACCTGTCTCTGCCTCCCAAGTGCTGGAATTAAAGGCATGTACTACCTGGCTTTTTTTGTTGTTGTTTTGTTCTCTTTTGGTTTTTCCAGACAAGATTTCTCTGTGAAACAGCCTTGGCTGTCCTGGAACTCACTCTGTAGACCAGGCTGGTCTTGAACTCAGAGAGCCTCCTGCCTCTGCTTCCCCAGTGCTGGGCTTAACGGCGTGCACCAAAACTGCCCAGTTCTTTTGTGTGAAAGCAAGTTGGCCATGGTGACGCATGCCTTTAGTCCTGACACTCAGAAGGCACATGCTGGCAAATCTCCAAGTTCGAGGCCAGCCTGGTCTACAGAGTACACGTATGTATAGTACATATAGAGCCTGAGGAGGACAAAGGTGGTGCTGGATACCCTGGAATTGGAGTTACAGTGGTTGTGACCTGCCATGTGAATCCCCTGTATCTCAGAACACAGAAACAAGACCCTGGAGCCCAGCCCTCAGGGCCACTCTATTGGCCCTTTGTCATCACTGTTCTGCACAGCCAGGCTGACGTATTTATTGGAAAAATTTAAAACACAGATGTAATGCATTATACAAAGGTCTTCATTCCATAATAAAAGTACTGTTGGGAGGAAACTAGAGCCCGTGACCACCTGCCCTGGGAAGGTAGGCACGCAGTGAAAAGTGAAATTCACTTTTGGGGACTATTCTAATGGAAAACTGTGGAAAAGGTTAAACAGAAAGTGGGGGGGGGAGGAGGATAAACAAACAAAAACCAACCCCATCCCTGCCCTGCACATTTGAGAGTCTTTTATAAGCTCGAGACATTAAGTTATTACCAAGATTTAATGGGGTTCCTCGGTTTGTCCCTAGAATGCTAATCGGTTTAACTTAGGGTCTTCAAACCTGAGGTAGTTGAGGGTCACCTGAAAAAACATGTCTGGAAGGATCTATATGCTCAGAAGTGGATCCAGTCACATCTAACCGTTTCTGGTTTTGGCTCCTGGGCGAGGCCTTCCACCACTGTTGTTGGCCAGTCTGGTGTTTGGGCTGGACTTGTGGGACAAGGGTGGCAAAGCTGCCTGGATCTCCCCTGATGGCTGCCAAGCGCTGCGGTGATAATTTCCAATCAGACAGTGTGGTCTCTGAGAACCCGCGAGGTGGAGAGAGGGCAAAGCTGCTCTGGTTGGAAGTCAGTGTGGACGCTCCAAGAACAAGGAGAGTGATCCAAGATGGCAAGGCCACTCTTATTGGCAGGTCGGTGTTGGACCCAAGACTTGCTTTTTTTAGCAAGGCTCCCAGAGATTTGGAAAGGCAATAAAGAGTAGCACATTTGCCAGCTATGAAAAGTTAGGGTTAAGTCGGGCAGTTGTGGCACACACCTTTGATCCCAGCACTCAGGAGGCAGGCAAATCTCTGAGTTCGAGGCTAGCCAGATATGCACAGAGAATCCCTGTCTTGAAACCTGTCCCCATTCCCCAATTAGGGTTAAATGGTACTGGAGACTCTTCGTATAAAGCCTGGTGTCTGAATCCTCAGCCACACCCATTGTGAGACGGTTCTCCCAGTTACAGGGTTAAGAGCACATATAAATGCTGGAGTCTAGTAGTGCTGTGGGCAGTACAGTCAATAAGCCATTGAAGTTACAGTCTCAATTTAATTTTTGGCTTTTTTGAGATAAGGTCTCAGTATATAGACCAGGCTAGACCTTAACTCATGATCCTCCTGCCTCAGAATCCCAAGTGCTGAGATTGTAGGCATGTACTGACAAACCTGCTATAGTCATTTAAATTCCTTGCTCAGATGTGAACCAGCCCCATGAAGGTAGATCATCCATGTACGTACATACCCTTCATCTCGAGGCACTAGAAAGCTGCAATACCAAGTTAAATATGAGATACAGCTGGATCTGAGTTTCTTTCTCACTACACCTAAGCCATTATTTTGCCAGTTTTCTGTTGTGAAAACGTTTTGAGTTATTTTTACTCAGATGTAAGTATATGCATCTGCATGAGTGTGTACCACCAGTAGAGGGTGTCAGATCCCTCGGAGTTGGAGTTAAAGGTGGTTGTGGGCCACATGATGTGGGTGCTGGGGACAGAACTTGGGTCCTCTGGGAGAAGGAAGTACTCTTAACTGCTGAGCTATCTCTCTGGACCGACAGTTCCGTGTCCCGAGGATCTGTTGACACTCATGCAGCAGACTTTAGTCTAAGGAGCCCCAGGAAGGCTTTAAAGAGCTTTTGAGCTCTAAGAATTTTCAGTGTTTGGTTTGTCCAGCACTGGGTTGAAGGACTCAAGTATAGGTAGCAGCAGTGCCAACAAATTATGGTGTAGGCTGAGTGAGATAGCTCACATCTTTAACCCCAACACTTGGGAGGCAGAGGAAAAGGAATCTTCTGTGAGTTCAAGGACAATGCAGTGATATATCTAGTTTAAGGCCAGACAGGGCTATATATTAAGACTCTGTCTCCAAAAACAGTTATATATAAGCCAGGTAGTGGTGGCACATGTCTTTAATCCCAGCACTTAGAAAGCAGAGGCAGGCAAATCTCTGAGTTCAAGACAAGTCCAGAGTTCCAGGACAGGCTCCAAAAGCTACACAGTGAAACCCTATCTCAAAAAAAAAAAAAACCCAAAACAAAACAAAAAAACCCAAAGTTATATATAATCTATACATATGCACATATATAATCTAATTACTTTTAACTCTTTTTTTTTGAGACATGTATGTAGCCCAGGCTGACCTTAAATTCAGGATCTTCCTGCCTCAGTCTCCCAAATGCCAAGATTGCAGGTATGCACTACTAAGCCTGGCTAGCGAAAGGAAGTTTCTGACTTGAGTTACACTAAAAAGTTCTGATACAACACTGAGCAGGTAGGGACCTTGTACTGTTGACCTACCTCACGCTGGGGCCCTTGACTGTTTTGTTACTCAGGGAGAGATTAATTAATAGGGTTTGAAAAATGGCTGGCTTTTCAGACAGGTGTGTTATGCATTCAGAGAGCCCTGCTCTAATGCTGTGCGTTTGATTTCCTCATGCTGGGACAGAGGAGTGTGAATGGGTTAACGCTAGAAGCAAGAACTGACTTTGTAGTCGACACTTCCGGAAACCTCCAGTGAGGACTTGGATTGGCTTGATTGGCACAAATGGGCCAACAACACCCCACACTGTTCTTGTCCTTGGACTCAAGAAATGCTAAGCAGAGAACCTTTTTTTCTGGCACCAAAACAGGCCGTTTCTACTGCAATAACTCCTTTAGCCCAACACAGAGGTCTTGTGTCTCAGCAGATGCCTGGGTTGTTGGGAGTTTTTGGAGTGCCGGCTTAGAAGATACTCAGGGAAGGGGTGTGGGTGGAGCAGAAAGAAGGGGGTTGATTCACAGTGATCAAACATTAATTAGTCTCACAACCCATCACCCAGCGAAGCTGAGCCATGTCCCACTGGGGACAGGTTCAAGGAAGTGCTTGCTGGCTACCACCTAAGAGTTACAGATAAAGAAAGACACCATCGCCCTGCCCCATCATAGAGATCAGAAGGTCACTTAATTCAGTGGTCCGTTTGAGAGTGGCAAAGTGCTGTCCGGCTGCTAGTACCTAGGCAGGATGCCTTCTGTCCCCATCCTATTGTCATGGGAGCAAGAGTGGGCAGTGGCGGGCGGGAATGGTGTCATAGCCAGTGGTCCCCTTTCTCCTTTTCCCCGCTCCTCAATGCTTCAAGGAACCTGCCTGCTTTGGGCTCCATGCCCAGAAATGACGAGCCATGGCTCTTCAGTCTTGTCTGTGGTCTGTGAAGACTGATGGCAGAGGGCAAGCCTAGCCTGACACCCTCAGTCGTGATTGCTCCAAGCGTCTCTGGGGCAGATGTTGTGTGAAGATTGTTAGTAATAAATACGAAGAGTCCTAGCCCAAGCTGAGTTCTCTTCCTGATGGGAGCAAGTGACACACACAACCATCCTTTCCTGGTTCAGTAGGACGCAGAAGCAGGCAGCTGGAAAAGGAATCACTTCCGGCCCCGTTGTATTTGTCCCTCTTAGCGTGTGGCCCAGGTCTGAGGAAGGTGGCCCATGTGACGTGGCACAGGAAGTTTGCTCTGGGGATGTAGTGTTGCTGCTCCACCAGCCCCCATTCCAGCATGTGATGGGGTGGTAAGCCTGGTCACATGAGCGCCTAAGAAAAATGTCCCCTGAACAGCGGGCCCCTGGCACCTTTTTAAAAACAAAACAAAACAAAAAAATCTCTGGTGCTCCCTGGCTTGTGAAGGTGGACAGAGGCCTGGGGATAACACCCAGGGTCTGAAAAATAAAGGCACTAGCTCTGCTTCAGACTTCAGAGGAGAGCTGTCACCCTGGGGGGGAGTGGCCTTGGCTGACGGAAGAGCTGAGCTGGAGCACCAAGGCGGAGCCTTAGCCGCACCACGGTGTGGGTGGGGGGTACTTCCTCTCAGAAGGCTCAGAGCTCAGGATGGGGTAGGGGTTGGAACCCTTTTTTGGAAAAGTTGGCTGTGTAAAACCTTCAAAATATAAACCCAAAAGACCCAAATAACTACCTAATAATAAGCAGGAGGAGATCCATGAAACTCCCAAAAGTGTAGTGTGTGTGGGGGGCATTGCTTTGGCATTCTCCGCCAGGCCGTTCGTTACCATTCTTCTGACCCTGGATTCAGATAGCGGTCTGGTTTGGAATCCAGCAGAGTTCAGATGCTCACGTTTGTGCAAGTGACAAAATGCAAAAGACTAACAAGGCGGGGGTGGGAGAGAACAGATGTGAGATGTCCCCTCCCCATGCTCCCAATGACAAGAAGCCTCTCAGGGAAGGACAAGACTGGTGAGGAAGTGGATATTAGGCAAGACAGGTTGGCCATGTCGCCGTTTTTCTGTGGACCTGAGCTTGCTCATGGCCAACACTGGCCTGCCTGTACGTCAGGGACATAAGAACTCATCATGCATCCAGACAGAGGTGGTGTCATGAGGGGACATGATGGCCTTCAGCTTTTGTCAATGTAGAGGTCTGCAAGGACCTTGGTGTGCCATGGTAGGGAGCGTCACTAACTGAAGGGTAGCAAGGATTTACATTCTGACATGTGGGGCTCGTCTCTACTCCTTTTCAGGTATTGCTTCTTGAGCAGTAGGAGGTGATGCTTCTGTTCCTAAAAAACAAAAACAACAACCACAAGACATGTCACACGGAGCCTCATGCTTACATGAACTCTTCCTGCCAGGTTCTCACCATGTGAGACTCTCATGTTCATTATTGCCATACTTTTTTTAAAAAAAAGAACCCTTGAAAAAGTGTGTGTGTGTGTGTGTGTGTGTGTGTGTGTGTGCGTGTGTGTGTGTGTGTCTATCCAGGGTGGTGGTGATGATCCACTTGTAAGAGCACTGGCTGTTCTTTCTAGAGGACCCAAATTCGAGCCCCAGAACCTACATTACAGCTCAAAAGTGTGTTCATACTCAGAAAATAAAAATAAATCTTTAAAAACAAAAGCAAAGTTAGCAACCTGGCTGGGCACTGTAGTGACTAAGATACAGTTTCCTGGTCAATGTGGAGGTTGGTTTTTTTATAATACTCTTTTTTGGGGGGGCTATGTAGCCTATGGTGGCTTCAAATCCCAAATATTCCTGCCTCTGTCTCTCAATTGTTAGGTTTGCAGGTACATACCACCCAGTTAATGCTGAAGCCTGGGAGCTTTGAAATTCTCTAAGATGTGTTCATCTTTAGGTTTAAAGGTTTCCTTAGGAGAGAAGATGGGGAGGAAGTGACAGTCCAGAGGGACCCGTTCTGTTAGGGAAAGGCCCGTCCCTTCTGCGGCACAGCAATAAGTTCCCAAGGCAGGCTCACCTTCTTCCCAGCCCTCGGCAACACCGGCCAGCTCATAGTGTTTCTTGCGAAGCTCTCCTAGTTTTTGACGCTCCTTCTGCAGGTCATTTTCCAACTCCAGCACCCTGACCTGTGGGAATTGGTTTAATTTAGTTTAAGAGTCTTAGCCTTCTGAATGGCCTACCAGTGAGCTATGCTTCCACCTTTCCTGTGTCTTTCCGTCTCCGAAGTTGTAGGGATTGATCCAGGGCGTCATGTATGAGAGGCAAGTACCCTACCACTAAGCCACACTCCAGCCCCTCACTGGGGGATTCTAGGCAGGTGCTCTACCACTGAGCCACACCCCAGCCCCTCACTGGGGGATTCTAGGCAGGTACCCTACCACTGAGCCACACCCCAGCCCCTCACTGGGGGATTCTAGGCAGGTGCTCTACCACTGAGCCACACCCCAGCCCCTCACTGGGGGATTCTAGGCAGGTAAGTGCTTAACTTAGTACATCACTAGCAGAGCCTAGGCAGATGCTATAAGACCAAACGACACCTAGTCCTTGTCATGCTCCTTCAGCCACTCTTGGGACTTTTCTTTAGACTTAATCTGGTCTCTCTGTGTCTCAGATTCCTTCTTCCATCATATCTATCCCATTTCCATATCTTACTTAAATTCACTTGATTGCCCAAGCTATCTCCCCAGGCTGAGATGAGCCTGTTAAGGTTACAGCCCAGCTCCTAGTTTAATTCTCTTTTGAGACAGGGTTACACACAGCAGACTGGCCTTTACCTCCCCATGCCAGGATTACAGGTGTACAACACAACAGTTAGCTTTCTCTCCCCTCTTTTTCCACATTTAATTATGTGTACCTATGTGGGGGGGGCACATGCAAGTACAGGTGCCCACAGAGCCCAGGAAGGGGTGGATCCCCTAGAACTGGAGTTACAGGCTGATGTGAGCAAAGGCCCTGAACTTCTGAGCCGCCTCGGCTGGGTTTTGTTGTTGTTTTAAAGTAGTCTTGCTATGTAGCCCACACTGGCCTTAACTCATGGCAGTCATTCTGCCTCAGCACCCCAAGTACTGGGATTGTTGCATGCATGCCCACAGCTGGCTTCATTTCCCCTAGTTTACTGTCTTTCTCTCTGGCTTCTCCCTGGGAGAAGGGAATGAAGACAGCTTGACCTTAGACGTGGCCATGTTTTTCTTACCTGAGAATCCATCTCCTGGCGCTTGATCTGGGTCAGTGTCATGCTTGAGAAGTCCATACTGTCTGCGAGGGTGGATACAGGAAGATCCAGTCAAATAATGCCCACAGCAGCTATCACTTAACTGTGATGACAAGGGCAATTCCCCACGGCAGTGCTTGGCCTGTCCTTTGCCACCATAATGGTCGCGAGCTGAACTGTCCCTGCAGGCTTTTGTTTGGAACATTTGTTCCCTAGCTGTTGGTGTCACTTTGGGGAACTGTGGAATATTTAGAAGGTTGGGCCTGGCTGGCAGAAGTAGGCACCCAGAACCATGCCTTTCTTCGTGTATGTGCATGCGTGTGAGGGTGCACTGATCATGTGGGTCCAGGAGATTGACAAGCTCTCTTTCCCAGTGAGATATTTCACCAGTCCCTGGATGAGATGTGGAATCACTATGGAAACATGTCTTGGGGTGTGTTTGTCAGGGAGTTTCTAGACTAGGTTAATTGAAGTGGGAGAAGCCACTTTAGATGTGGGCAGTAGTATTCTATGTGTTGGCTTCTGGACTGAATTAAAAGGAGAAAAGCAGAAAATGGGTGGGGTCAACTGTAATCCCAGCACTACCGGGGGGGGGGGGGGCAGGAGGATCTCTGTGAGTTTGTGGACAGCATGATCACATAGTGAGTTCCAGGTCAGCCAGGGGTAGGGGTACATAGGGAGACCCCATTTCAAAGAAACAAAAACAAAACAACAGACAGACAAAGAGAGCTGGCAAACGAGTTTGGGGAGGGTGGGGATTGGCACCAGCATCGCCTGCCACCTGCTTCCCGACTGTGCATTCAGTGTTTCCAGCTGCGCCACATTCCTGCCACCGTGCCATCCTCCAGCATGGACTGTACCATCATACGGTGAGCCAAAATAAACCCTACCTCCTTAAGGGTTTTAGTTTTTCCCTCTGACACACACACACACACACACACACACACACACACACAGAGAGAGAGAGAGAGAGAGAGAGAGAGAGAGAGAGAGAGAAAGAAGGTTATAGGGGGGAAGAGACCTGGACTCTGGCCCCACACACATTAGTAGACACATGTACGCACACCTACAAGCACACCACACATAAAAAAGAAAGAAGGAAAAAGAATTTAAAAAACACAGGACTGCACTGAGATCATGGGGAAGGAGATTCAGAGTGGCTGGAAGGCTACCTGTCTCCTCAATTTGAGATTTGCCAGAAATGGTTGAGGCCACCACAGCAGCTGTGGCCTGGTTCACGCCCCGAGAGGCCTGCTTCAGCTGGGTCAGATTGAGGCTGCCCTTGTTAGCTTTCACCTGCAGGGACAAAGGACATTTATGTTCACGATACATCAGAAGCAGCAAGGACGGGACCAAACAGATGGCCTGGTGGCCTTCAGTAAACATGGACTGCTGTCACCAGTCAAGCTCTCAAAACCACTGTTTCCCCTGCATGTCTAGAGTGGAAAGTGACCCCTGGCCTATATATAGGTTGGGTTACCCTATACTCTAGCTTGCACAGCTGTCTGCATGAACTCTTCCATGTGTAGGAAAACCTGGGATCCTAAGAAATAAGGGCAGAATAAAGAACATCATGGGGTGAAGTTTGGGGTCACTGGTATGCTTTACATAAGGGTTCAATGGGGCTGTGGTTCAAGTTCAGAGACAAAGGAGGGGCAGGCTTTGGTTACATGGACTTAAAGGCCATGTCAGATGACCTGTAGTCTGTGCTAAGCAGTTTTATTACCAAATACTTTGTTTTTTAAGGCAGGGTCTTACTCTATAGCCTTGGCTAGCCTGGAGCTCACTATAAAGACCAGGCTGGCCTCGAACTCAGAGGTCCACCTGCCTCTGCTTACTGACTGCAGGGAATCAAAGGTTTGTACCAGCATGTCAGGCTAACATATACCATGTCTGTTGAATAGATACTGCTTTGATTTTGGACATTAGGAATGGAACCCAGGGCCATGTGCTTTACCACTAAGCTATACCCTTAAACCCTCACTGGGGGATTCTGGGCAGGTGCTCTACCACTGAGCCACACCCCAGCCCCTCACTGAGGGATTCTAGGCAGGTGTTCTACCAGTGAGCCATGGCCCCTGCCTCTTACCAGCAGACCTGGAGCAATTACTTCGCAATACACTTTATCCTCAGATCATTTTAAGTTACTTTGTATTATTTTACTTATGTAGTATTTATGTGTAGGTGTGCATGCCATGGTGTGCATGTGGGAACCAGAGAAGAACTTGTGGGAGTCATTTCTTTCACTCCACGGTGTAGGTCAAAGGGATCAAACTCAGATCATCAGATTTGGCAGCAAGTGCCTTTTCCTAACTGTGCCATCCCATGGGCCCCTGCTTAAATTTTTTTTATTCTGAACCAAAGTCTTGTTAGGTTGCTCAGATTGGCTCTAACTTCACTTTAACTTTTAATTCTCCTGTCTCATCTTCTCAAGTAGCCAGGATGACAGGCCTTTGTCAGCCTGGTCCACCCAAATGCTCCTTGAATGATGTCATTGCTATTTGGAGGCTGGCATGCTTGGGACCCTCAGAAGCTGCCCAGTGACACTGACAAGAACAGCAAGGCATGCATGTGATGAGCTGGTGGAGGGGCTCCTTGCTGGTGTATATCAGGCTCTTAAAAGAGATAGCTATGGAACCCTTGAGAGGCCAAACTTTTATTCAGGACCTGGACAAGCAGGGCTATGGATCATCACCTGTCCTTGAGGTTGGTTCCATTGCTCAAGTCCTCTGTAACTTAGCCTCACAGTGTGCTGGAGCATTTGGCACCAGCTGGTCCTACCTTGGATGCAGCCACAAGCTGGGCTGTACTAGCAGCAATCTCATGCGAACACACCATCAGTTCCTCAAACTTCCCTTTGCCTTGGACCACAAGATCGGCAGCATCCCTGAGAACCCAGAAGAGCCAGGAAGGATGAGGTTACAGAGAGCAGAAACCATCAGGCTCCCATCTTCAGCCAACCCCTAAGTCCCTGGCCAGACAGGAAAGGCAGCGGCTTACCCTACTCCTATGTACTCCTGCGTTGTCCTGGGAGACCTCTGGTCCCTTTCAAACTTCCAGTACTAGTCACTTCTTTTTGTATTTATTTGTGTATATGTATTTGTATGAGAGAGAGAGAGACAGAGAGAGACAGAGAGAGTGTGTGTGTGTGTGCGTGAGTGTGTGTGTGTTTGTATGAGACAGAGAGAGAGAGAGAGAGAGAGTGTGTGTGTGTGTGTGTGTTTGTATGAGAGAAACATGTGGAAGCCAGAAGGCCACCTCAACTATCTTTCCTCAGTTGTAGTTTACCTTATTAATTTAAAAAAAATTTTTTTTTTTTTTTTTTTTTTTAAACTTGATATAGGATTTGACTATATAGCCCTAGTTAGCCTCAAACTCACAGAGCTCCATCTGTTTTTGCCTCCTAAGTGCTAGGATTTAAGGCATATACCCTATGCCTGCCTCCAGCTCATATTTTTAGATATCTTTTTTTTTTTTTTTTGTGGGGGGGGGTTCAAGACAAGGTCTCATTATATAGCCCTGGCTGTCCTAGAACTTACTCTGTACACTAGGCTGGCCTTGAACTCACAGAGATCCAAATAGGCTCTGCCCCCTGAGTGCTGGGATTAAATGTGTGCACCACTACACTTGGCTGATAGTTTTTTTGTTTTGTTTTGGTTTTTTGAGACAAGGTTTCTCTGTATAACAGCTCTGGTTGTCATGGAATCAGCTCTGTAGACCAGGCTGGCCTTGAACTCACACAGATCTGTCTGCCTCTGCCTTCCAAGTGCTGGGATTAAAGGCATGGGACACCATGGTCCAGTGATATGCCATGATGAGAGATGTCATTCTGTAAATATGTTTCTCATACTGCTGGCCAATAGGAAAGCAAGGTAGGCGGGACTAGGAGACAAGGAGGATTCGAGGAAGTAGTAAGGAGGAGTCAGCATGGAGAGACTGGGGAGACCAGATGCCAGCCCTATTTCCCAGTAAGATGAAACCACGTGGAAATACTTAGATTAACAGAAATGGGTTAATACTTAAGACAGAGCTAGCCGATAAGAAACTAGTACCTGGCCAACAGCATTATAGCAAATACAGAGTCTCTGTGTATTAATTGGGGCTGGCGCAGAGGCGGGACAAGACCAACGGCGGGAGGAAAAACCTTACTCGTTACAACACCATCTCTTAATGGGAGTTGGGGCTGGCAGATTAGGCCTAAACTGGCTGGCCAGTGAGTTCCAGGCATCCTCCTGCCTCTGCCTTCCCAACTCTGGGATTACCATTGCATGCCACCATAGGTAGCTTTTTATGTGGGACCAGGATGGAACTGAGGTCCTCAGGTTTACCATGCACTACTGCATGGCCAACCCATCTCCCTGCCCACTACTCATTTTTTAAGGCAACCACATGTTTCTAGATTTTAAGAACTTTTTGGGTCAGGTATGGTGGTGCATGCCATTGATCTACCCCATTAGAACTTTGTACCCTGTTACTATATAGCATTTTGTTATATAGCCCAGGTGGCCTCTAACTTGTTATTCTACAGCCTCAGCCCGTCAAGTGCTGGGATCCCAGTGGGTACCACCATGTCTGGCTATGAGATACCTTTTTCTCTCTCTGAGCAACTGTCTTGGGTGATTGGAATGGGGAAGGGGATATGGGAAGCCTTGGAGCCAGACACTTACACCATGATGGTAGCTCCCCAACCAACAGCTTTGGAGGCAGATATAAGCCCTTCTGTCCACCGAGAGTTCTTTGCATAAAATTCTTTAGGGGATGCGGTACCCTATAGAAGCAAAAATATAACAGCTTGGTTAGTTGTTTTTATTTAAACTTTAAACATATTTCACAGAACAGTGGTTTGACTGCACGTATGTGCACCACATGTGTGTGGAGGTTAGAAGATCTGGAGTTACTGATGGTTGTAAGCTGCCATCTTGGGTTCTGGGATTTGAACCATGCTCTTAAGCACTGGGCCATCTCTCCAACCTGAGGTTGTTTTTAGACAGGCCTATGCTATCCCCCAATTCTTAGTCTTCCAGCCTCAACCTCCTAAGTGTAGGACTATAGGCATGTCCCACCATACTCAGGGTTTTTCTTTTAAATCACATTTATTTATATATTGTGTGTGCGCGCAAGTGGGTGGACATGTCCATGCCATGGAACAAGTATGGAGATCAAAGGAAATCTTGTAGGAATTGGCTGTTTCTATCATGCATGACCTGGACCTTGAACTCATGTTGTTAGGCATGGCAGCAAGCTCCTTTACCTAATGAGCCATATTGCTAGTCCACTTACCCAGATATTTATGGCTAATTTTTTGTTGTTGTTTTGTTTTTTTGAGACACGGTTTCTCTGTGTAGCTTTGTAGACCAGACCGGCCTCAAACTCACAGAGATTCACCTGCCTCTGTCTCCCAAGTGCTGGGATTAAAGGCATGTGCCCAGCTTTTAATGGCTAATTTTATTTATTTATTTATTTTACATTATTATTATTATCATTTTGGTTTTGGGAGACAGAGTTTCTCTGTGTAGCTTTGGAGGCCATCCTGGAACTAGCTCTTGTAGACCAGACAGAGATCCGCTTGCCTCTGCCTCCCAAGTGCCACTACTGCGCGGCTTGAACGGCTAATTCTATAGAATGCCTAACCAAGTGCTAAGTGCCTTTATTCTCACTTTAGGTGTAAGAAAAGTAAGATGCAGTAAGGCAAAATAACATCCCCTAAGATCTTGGAGGTAATAAATTAGAGTAAATCCCCAGCATTTTTTTTTTTTTTTTTTTAAAGATTTAGTATTTAATAGTGTTCTGCCTGCATATATGCCTACAGGCCACAAGAGGGCACCAGATGAGCCACCATATGGTTGCTGGGAATTGAACTCAGGACTCTGGAAGATCAGCCAGTGCTCTTAACCTCTGACTCAAATCCCTAGCTTTTAAAAAAGATGCCCAGTGATGCCAGGGGCTTTGATGCCCTGGAGCTGGAGCTATGGGCAGTTACGAACCACCTGGTATGGATGTTGGAACTGAACTCAGACCCCTCAGAAGACCAGTTTTTAAGTGCTCAGCCATCTTTCCAGGCTATAACGTTTTTGATTTGAGATAGGGTCTGTATGTATAGAACAGGCTGGCCTTGAACTCAGAGATCCACTTACCTTTGCCTCCCAACACTGGGATTAAAGCATGCATGATTTTATACAGAGTTTGGGATGGAATCTATGGTTTTATAGACGCCAGGCAGGGACTCTCCCAATCGAGGTACATATTCAACTCAGGAAGGGAGTTTTGAGAGATGATCCAGCTATGCAGCCCACGCCAAGGTCAAACTTGAGACCCTCCTGCCTCAGCTTTATGAGCATTTGGATTATTTAAGGGGTTACATATCTGCAGGTTTGGGGATCTATAGGGACCCGTCTCCCATGTCTGAGGTTTAATCCTGGGATCTATCTAGTTTCCCAGTGTCCTCAGTTGTCCCTGAAAGCCTGGGAACAGTGTCAGTGAGGTTTCCACAGTAGGTCTGTGTGGCCTCTGGGAGCTGGAGCTGGAAGGTACTGGCTGATTGCTTCCTAAGGGCAGCAACTCTCAACTTCCCACAGTGGCTGGGAAATTTCCCTAAGAATGGCAGATCTGCCCGAGATGGATGCCCAGTGTAAAAGCAGATCCCAGCACGCGTGGAGGGAGGAGCTCACACCACAGCACCACTTACCCTGCCGCTTTCCACGATCTCCTTCTGGAGGTCCTTGGAGGCCACAACAAGGACCTTGATGGCTTGCATCAGGCTGGTACAGGAACCAAGGATCCTAGTAAAAAGAAAGGGTTGGTGACTAGGACACTAAGAAGAACGTGGACAACTTGCCTTCCCATTCCTAAGTCAGGAAAACCTCGAGTAGCAATGGGGGGCAGGAAAGGATTGCTGGAGGACCCTGAGGCAAAGCCTTGGAAGAAAGCCAGTGAGTGACACTTCTCTCTGGGCCTTGCTTTCAGGGGACCTTGCTTACGTACTGTGACCACAAGGCTCGCACTGACCTCTCGTTCACCTCCAATTTGACTCCTGTGTCTCCTGCTCGGGATTTACTGAGTATTTCCTGTTAAAAAGAAGCACATCTGGTTTCTTTTTTGTGCATGTGTGTGTGTGTGTGTGTGTGTGTGTGTGTATTATTTGAGCCCAGGCTTCCTGTGTATTAGGCAGGCACTTTGTCTGATAAGCCAAGACCTCAGCCTCTCACTGGGGGATTCTAGGCAGGTGTTCTGATAAGCCAGATCTTAGCTACTCATGGAGGAATTCTAGGCAAGCTACATTCTCACCCCAAGAATGTACCATGAACCTGATCAACCACCACTGCCTTGATACGCTGGATCCAACAAGGTGTGGCAGTATGGAAGGCTGAATCTGTCCGTGTGAGTCAGAAATCCCCAGACCGCTCATCTGGCATTGACGGCAGAGAGCTGGAGTTGACTGCTGCAATCAGTGAGAGTCTTGACCTCAGCACTGGGTTGATGTGCATGAAACACCAAGAGCTGTGGTACCTGACCACCAGGGGCAGCTGCTACCAGATCCACAAGGCAGGTGCTCACCACAGCAGGGAGAGAATCATCCACCAAAGGAGCCACATGAGACCTTTCCAATAGGACCCACTCAGTTCTCCTGAGGAGTTCTTCAACACCTATCAGGCTTCCTCTAATATTTTATTATTATGACAGTGATGGCTAGCTCTGTCAACTTGACAACCTAGACTCACTCACCAAGAGAATCTCAACAAGAGACTCTACATTGGGTTGGTTTGTGGGCACATCTGTGGGAGGGATTTCTTAACTGACGTGGGGAAAACCCAGTCTACCATGGGCAGCACCATTCCCTAGACAGGTGGTCCTGAACTGTGTAAGAGTGGAGAAATCCAGGTGAGCACAAGCAAGCAATCAAACACATGTACTAATGCTCTCTGCTCTTTACTGTGGATGGGATGAGATGAGCTGCTTCCAGCTCCTGCTTTCCTTGCTCATACCACGGTGATTTCCCTGCAGCGCCCTCAAACTGTAAGTAAAAATAGACCCTTCTCCCCTAAGTTGATTTTTGTTAAGATGTTTTATCACAGCAACAGAAATAAAGCTAAATCAATCGCCATCCTATAGAAAGAATCTAAATCCAAGCCAGGTGGCATAACTCACATAAGTTACGTAATTATCAGCCAGCCTGGAAATTGAAGCTGGGGTGGTCTGACACCAAAACATCTGACCTCAAAGGAAACTGCTCATCTTTCTTCATAAGGACCTCATTTTCTTGCCCTCACTGATGCAGTGATGCTGGCCTCTGATTTTGTGTTCTTTCCTTCCTTTCTCAGACAGTGTCTCACACAGCTCAGGCTGGCTTCAAACTTACTATATAGCTGAGAACAACCTTGAACTCATGAACCTCCTGGCCCCACCAAGGGCTGAAATCACAGGTCTGCACCACCACAATGGGCAGTTTTGGCTTCTTTGACAGGAGACGAAGACATTCCCAAGGTTCAGCACTGACCAAGGGAACTGACGGGAGTGTTGCTGTGGGAAATCCTACAGAATTCTCTCACCTCTATCCGGGTCGTGGCAGCTTCAATGGCAGCTGAAGTGGCGGCCATCTCCTTGTCCACAAGGTCACCCAGCTCTTCCTGTTTTATGTCCAAGCCCCTGGGCAGCAGTTCCTGTAAGCATTATAGCAAAGGTTAAAAAGACATTTGGCATACTTTTTGCTTTCCCTTGGCCCTATCATGGGAACCTTCTAATAAGGTATGGGAGACAGGGTCTATCACAGACTCCATCTGGAACTTTCCATGGTATGCATGCTGGAACTGTAGCAGAATATTAATTAAAGATGTGTTACATTCTTTTATGCTGTGGAACATTTGTTTAATGATGCAAAGATGTGTTACATTCTTTTACATTGCATTTATTTAACTCTGAAGCTGTTACTCTGCCTGTCTAAAACACCTGATTGTCTAATAAAAAGCTGAACAGCCAATAGCAAGGCAGGAGAAAGGATAGGAAGGGCTGGCAGGCAAAGAGAATAAATAGGAGAAATCTGGAAAGAGAAGATCAAGGAGCAAGGAAAAGGAGAGAACGACATCAGGGGCTACCCACTTAGCTACACTATCAGCAACAGAGTAGGAAAGAATAGTACATAGAATAGAGAAAGACAATAGCCCAGCGTCAAAAGGTAGATGGGATAATTTAAGAAAAGCTATCTAGAAACAAGTCAAGCTAAGGCTAGTTATTTATAAGTAAGATTAAGTTTCTCTGTGATTATTTGGGAGCTGGATGGCTGGTTCCCCCAAAAAGTAAAACAAAACAACATGGAACCCCATGTTTCTCCCTCCCCTGCACATCTCACAAGCATGTCCAGTTGGGAGGCCACCAGTCTCCAACCCTACAGAGCCAACCATTCAGCAACCGTCACTGTGGCCCTATGATGGTTAACCTTGATCGTCAATTTGATGGGACCAAGAATCACCATGGAAACAGACCTCTGGGCATGTCTGAGAGGGAGTTTCTAGGCTGGGAAGACCCACTTGAATGTGAGTGGTACCCTTCTACGGGCTTTGGGTTTGGACTGAACACAAAGAAGAAACGGGGCTGAGCACAGTTCCCTGATGGTGGATGCAGTGTTGCTACCTCGTGCTCTGCTACCATGCCTTCTCCACCAAAGCCTCAAGGCGAAAGCAAAAATAAACCCATCCTTCAGCTGCTTTTGCAAGGTGTTTTTTTTTTTTTTTTTTTTTTTTTTTTAAAAAAGATGTATTTATCTATTATACATACAGCATTCTGCCTGCATGTGTGCCTGCAGGCCAGAAGAGGGCACCAGATCTCATTATAGATGGTTGTGAGACACCATGTGGTTGCTGGGAATTGAATTCAGGACCTCTGGAAGAGCAGCCAGTGCTCTTAACCTCTGAGCCAGCTCTTCAGCTCTTTGGCAGATAATTGTAACAGCAACAAGAAAATAGACTAATATAGGCCCTAACCTCACAGTCACAGGTATCAACTGTATTTACTAATGGGAGGGTTTTTGCCTTTGATACGGGTCTCACTATGTAGATCAGGATGGTCTCAAACCCACCTGCCTCTGATGTTGAGTTTGAGATTAAGAGAACGAGCTACTACACCTGCCCCCCCTTTATTTTTCCCGAGAAAGTGTTTCTCTGTGTAACTCTAGTTGTCCTGGAACTCACTCTGTTGACCAGGCTGGCCTTGAACTCAGAGATCCAGAGATCCAGCTGTTTCTGGCTCCCCATTGCTAGGATCAAAGGTGTGCACACCACAATTTTTTTTTTTTTTTTAAACAGGGCCTCTCCCAAGTGCTGGGATTACAGGCAGTCACCACCATGCCCAGTCACCTCATTGTTAAGATAGATCTCTGCTTTGGCCTCTAGTGTGCTGAACAGAAACAGCTGCTGTCAGTTTTCTTTACTCTCATAAATACCTAATGCAAATTCTTTGTGTGTGCATGGCCATGTGTGTAAAAGGCCATACGTATGTGTGTGCAGATGTACACGTCCATGTATGTATAGAGCCCAGAGGCCAACTTCAGGATTCGTTCCTCAGGAACCATCCACCTTTTATCCAAGACACAATCTCTTCACTGGCTGGTGGTTCACTGGCTTGGTTGGAGAGCCCTAAGAGTTTGTCTCTGACTGCCTAGCCATGTGGATTCCAAGTCCGTACCAGCATGCACAGCCATTTCTCTCCCCTCTTTGTAATATGGGTTCTACAGATTGAACTCATGACCTCATGCATTTTAGGCAAGCATTATCCAGTGAGCCATTTCCCCTGCCCCACCCAAAGTTATTTTGTGGATACCCAACGCACACACTGCAGCTTCATAGGTAAGCATGGTGGTGTGTGCCTGCGATCCTAGTACACAGCAGGTGGATTTGTGGATGCCCAACACACACACACACTATAGCTTCATGCATAAGCATGGTGGATTTGTGGATACCCAACACACACACACACTATAGCTTCATGCGTAAGCATGGTGGTGTGTGTGCCTGCAATCTTAGTATGTGGCAGGCGGATGCAGGAGAATCAGCCATTCAAGGTTATTCTTGGATACATGATAAGTTCTAGGCTAGCCTGGTCTATGGGAGACCATCTCAAAGGCAAACAGAAAACCAAACAGGGCTGGGCATGTGGCTTAGTCAGCAGAGTGCTTGTCTAGTATGAATGAAGCCCTCAGTTCTATTTCCAGGGCCACATAAATGAGATATAACGGTCTCTAGTCCTGTAATCCCAGGAGATGGAGTCAAGAAGAGAGGAGTTCAGGGTCATCCTTGGCTACATAGTTCAAGGTCAGTCTGGGCTACATGACACCTTGTTTCAGACAACTAAACAGTAACAAAAGGCAAATCACATCACTAATGATACCTCGCCAATGGCCGTGATCTTGCTGAGGCAGTTCCTCATGGCTGTGCTATCGTTTTTCTCCATGGCTTCATCTTGCTCCAGGCAAGACAGATAGGCCAGGGTTTCCCTGCCACACTGCCTGCAGGCCTCTGTCAGAGCTGAAGACAGGAGACATAGATGCTTAAATAGATGCTCCCATTTTCCTTGCTCTCAGGGGCATCCCCTCCACTGATACTCACCGTCGGCTGGCTCCGGTGGGGCCCGGAGGCTGGTGGCACTCCCCTGAACAATGGTGTCACTGGTCAAGTGGGCAAGCAGGCTTACTGAGTGCAGAAGCTCACTGATATCTGCAGGGAAGGGAAGGGAAAAAAAGGAAAGTCTCAGACCCAAGGGTAGCATGGGGATATGCCCTCTGAATGCAGTTACCTCCAGAGGCCAGAAGAGGGCATCAATCCCTTGGAGAAGCCTGAAGTGAGGTGGGTGTAGGAGACCAGAACCTGGGTTCTCTGCAAGAGCGAGTACTCTTAACCCCTGGGCCGGCCATATCCTTTTGTACATATTTGAACCTGGCCTGGTTGCCCCTAGTGACAGAGACCACGTCCTCTGTTCCTCTTACCTTCTGGGCAGGCCAGATACTGGCTGTGGCTCTTTTCTAGTTGATCAAGGCAGCTGGAAACAGCCTTGACTTTGGAGAGAAGGTGATCTGAGGGGAAGACAGGGAACCATCAGAAGAAGAGTTCTCACAATTTGCTCTACATTAGCGGCTGGGTGGGCGGGTGTCCCAGCTGAGAGTCCCTGCCCCAGGGGCTTTTCCTTAGATAAAGGAGAGAGAGAGAGCTGCTTGCCGTGCTGTTCTAAAGTGATGGGCACAATCTATTTACTTTTCTTTCTTTCTTTTGAGACAGGGTCTCTCATAATCCATGCAGGTCTTGAACTTCTGATCTTCCTGCCTCCTTCTCTAAAGTGTTGGGATTATGGGTGTGTACCATCAGACCCAGTACATATGGTCTGGAACTGGAACCCAGGACTCTGTGCATGCGCAGCAAGCACTCTACCCACTGAACCATGTCACTAGCTTTCCAAAACTACTGTCTCAGGCTACTGTTCACTATAGGGGCATGGCATACTGTAAGGTTTGAATCTTAAGTGTCTCTTAAAAGCTCACGATATTGATACTATTATTATATTGAGACAGGATCTCACTCTATAGCTCTGTCGGCCCTGGAACTCACAAAGATCTTCCTGCTCCAATGCTTGTTTTCCCAGTTTTGGTGTTACTTTAGCGGGGGATGGAAATGTGGGAGGTGGAGCCTATTCGGGGTGAGCAGGCCACTGGGGCAGATCTTGGAGATCAGTTCTTCCTGCCTATTTCCCGTCTTTCTGCTCAGTTCACCATGACTATGAACAAGCTCCACCACATGTTCTCACAACCATGAAGAGAGTGGCTTTTCCATACCTTCCTCTTCACCATGGACCAGAACCTTCTGAAACTGTGGGCCAAATGAACCTTTTCCTCCTGACGTCATTTCTGTCAGGTGCTATGGTCAGAGTGACACAGTAACAACCAGGACACTGGCTGAGGCGGTGGCTGTCTCATCTGCCAGGCTGACAGAGTCACAACCACTCGGGCAGTATGCCACAGAGCTTCCGATTTAACTGACCTAGGATGGAGAGCGGGCACACCCCAGGGGCTCTGGCATGCAGCTGGGCCGAGGACACTGAACAATGGAAGCACTCAACCCCAACAGGAAATACCAGACAGCTGGGCCCAGCAGGTGGGCATCTGGAAGACCACCTACCTGTGGACCCTGCACAGCTGATGAGGGCAGGCTCTTCAAGCTGACTCAGCGCTTCCTGTATCTCATGCTCCGCAGCCTTCCTAGACCCTGCCAAGAGTTTTTTCCTCTGGTCCTTTACCTGCTGGCACATGGATTCCTAGAAAAAGGGCAGGGAGGTGAGTTGGCCAGGCACACCACAAGGAACGGCAAGCAGCATCCACCTGAGACCACACAGGGTGAGGGATTCCTGGCCTCTCAAGGCGGTGCTAGTGAGATCCAAGAAAAACGCCTGACCTTGATTCACAGTTGTGCACAATGGACCAGTGACCTACCTGGTGATCCTACCAGGGTGGCACTCAGGTTACGTCCTGAGGATTGCTAATGTTGTCATCTTGATTACCAGAAGCCTGGATTAATATAGCTGTGTCTGTGAGAGTATTTCTAGAGATAACTAGAACCCGGCACGGGTTCTCTGGCACTAAGCCTTTGAACCATTTCTCCAGCCCGTATTTTATTAGGCAGGGTCTCCTGTATATCGGCCAGCCTCAAACTCAGTATTAAGGAGCTGAGAACATCTGAACTCCTGATCCTTCTGTCTCCACTTCTGAGAGCTAGGAATCACAGGTGTGTGTGTGTGTGCGCGCACTCAGTTGGTGTGGTCTGGAGACTGAACCCAGGGCTTAGCGCATGCTGGACAAGCGCTCTACCCACTGAGATCCATTCCTGACCCACACATCGCTCTTCTTATCCAAAAAGAGGCAGTAGGCTTTAGGAACTGTGTCCACAGAAAGCCTTGGGCATCAGGCCCAGTGGCCTTGAACCCTTCATGACACATCTGTCTGTGGCATCCACCATGTCCCACTGGATGTCTGTTACTTGCCTGGGCACTGGCCAGTTTTATCTTGGTGCTTTCCAACTGGCCCTGGAGGGCTGAGAACGCCTCTTCTCTCTGAGCTGCGGCAGTAGCCATGCTACCCTGTTCCTTCTCCAGTTCGGCGATCTGTGTCAACCATTTTGCTTCGGACTGCAGAGGTCACCATGTGGAAGCAAGAAGAAACTGAGGAAATTAAACGGTCCCCTTGCTGGGCCTCCAGACCCACCTCCCGGTTCTAAAGGGCAGGAGGCGATAGCTTGTCCGTGTGCCCCGAAGACTAAGTGTGGATTACAACTGGGGCCAGAGGGCTCACGGGAGGGGAGCAGGGAGTGGCTCACCTGCGCAGAGGTCTCCAGGCTGCTGTGGAGGACCTGCAGCTCTTGTCTGCTGCTGGCTAGTTCATGCTTCAGGTTTTCTAGAATGTCCTGTTGCTCTTGAGTCTGAAATGGAGGCAAAACAGGAACGCTGTGAGCTGGGGAGTCACGAGACGGAATATATATATTTCCCAAGCTATTGATTGAAACTGTGCCCTGCTCTGGGTCTAAGTTACAAGTACGGGTGTAACAGGCAGGCTAATAGGTGGCAACCCAGACCTTACCAACAACTTTTCTTTTCCAAGTAATTTTGAAGATTAGTTTACCAGCCATTAGTAAGAATTGATAACTAACATAGAACACATGATGAGTTCCTCTGATCCATGCCTGCCTCAAAGCCTGTTTTCAGGGATGGAGGGGATGACAGAGTGGCTCAAAGTGCTTGCTGCTATCTAGATGATCTGAGTTCAAATCCGCAGACCCACAAGAAGAGAACCCAAATCCACAAGTTGTCCCCTGACTTCAACATGCATGCTGTTATGTGTTCATGTACACACACACACACATACTGTATATATACATATGTATATATGTAACTATAACACTAATAAAAGCCCATTTCCAGAACCTCCTCCTGCATTCCCCCCCTCCCAAGTGCCTCTCCTGCTCACCTTCCGATGGGCCTGGTCACTTACACGTGCAAAGGAATCTTCTAGTTCTTTTTTCTCTCTTTCCAAATCTACCTGGGCTTGCCTGGCCACGGACACCTGTTTGGTCACCTCTGCATTCTGAAAGGGGAGAAGAGTGTCTAGAGCTGACACCTCTCAGGCTCAGCTTCCATCTTCCTTCCAGTACCAATGACTACTATCAGACAGCGAGTATCAAGGAGATGGACACAGGAGAAGGTTTTTCCTACCAGGGGGAAGCCAGAATGGAGGAGCCATGACCTTCAGATGTTAGAATTCCAGGTATTTGGATTCACTCTGCAGCCCCAGGCTAGCCTCAGGCTCAGAGCAATCCTTCTGCTTCTGCTATCCAAGTTTGGGGATTTCAAGTGTGAGACAGTACACCTACTTGTTTATATTTTGAGATAGGCTCTTATTGTTCAGTCCTGGCTGCCCTGGAGTGCTAGGTTTAAAGACACATGCCTCCACACAAGATCTTGCCTCCGCTTTCTGATAGAATTACAGGTGTGTTCCCCTATGCCCAGCTCAAATGAGGGGTAATTCTAACTGACTGATACACAAGACAGAAATCAAAAAGACTTAACAGGCTGGCGTTAAGAAATGGGAGTCTAAGAGCTGGAGAGATGCTCAGTGGTTAAGAGCTCTTTCAAAGGACCCAGATTTGGTTCCCAGCACCCATGCTGGGTGGCTCACAATTGCCTGTGATTTCAGCTTCAGAGGATCTGATGCCCTTTTCTGGTCTCCTCAAGCAAGTACACACACACACACACACACACACACACACACACACCAAGAATAAAGAGAAGGTCTGCACCATTTCTCCTGTGATGTGGGGTATATGGAAGAACTGGAGGGGTTGGTCAAAGTTCCTACCTTCCGCAGCAGGTCAGCATGGTTCTGAACCAGCTCGCTATACTTCTCTTTTAGCTTGCTATACCGCTGTTCATTGGCCTGGGCTTTTCCTGCATTGGGAAACACCAAGGTGAGGCCTCTGTCCTGGCTGGGATCCCCCTACCCTCTCTCCAGTAAGCTGGGGCCCTAAATATTTTTATCCTTTATTTTCTTTTTGAGACAGAGTTTCTCTGTGTAACAGCTCAGGCTGTCCTGGACCTCGCTCTGTAGACCAGGATGCCCTCGATACTTACAGACATGGACCTGCCTCTTCCTCCTGAGCGCTTTTTTTTTTTCCTTCTTTAAAGAACTGGCTATGTTGCCAACATGACTTTGAACCTCTGATCCTCCTGCTTCCATCTCTTGAGTACTGAGACTGCAGGTGTCCACTACCTCACTCAGCTAGAAGTAGTCTAATTAATTTAGGACTTTTGGGGAGACAAGGTCTTGCTACACAAACCAAACTAGCATTATGGTTTATCCTCCTGCCTTAGCCCCCAGAGTTGTGGAATCGCAGGTAAACACCTGTACACACCAGACATAAAGGTTCTCTTTTTAAAATAAACATTCCTCTGAATTAAGTTCTTTTGCAGACTGATGCCTATAAGCACAGTGTTGGTAGTTTGAAAGAAAAGGGTCCCCAAAGGGAGTGGCACTCTTAGAAGGTTTGGCTTTGTTAGAGTAGGTATGGCCTTGTTGGAGGAAGTATGTCACTGTGGGGGTGGGCTTTGAGGTCTCCTGTGCTCAAGCTTCCCTCAGTGAGAAGACCACTTCCTGTTGCCTGCAAATGAAGATGTATTAACTCTCAGCTCCTGCTCCAGCACCATGTCTGCCTGCACTCAGCCATGTTCCACCATGATGAGAATGGACTACACCTCTGAACTGCAAGCCAGCCAATTAAAAATGTTCTCCTCGGGTTGCCATGGTCATGATGTCTCTTCCCAGTAACAGAAACCGTAACTAAAACTCACAGCGTCCACATCAGCAGAGATTTAAGGTTCATGTTTGCTCTCCCTGCTCTTAGGTCTTTATCCTGCTCCTGTCTTAGCAGCAGCGACCAGCCTTGCTCCCGCCCACGCCCTCAGCCCCAGCCCCTCACTTTCTATCTCAGTCAGGCTGCGCTGTGCCTTCTCCGTGTCCTCTCGCTGCCTCTTCAGCTCGTCCAGCTCCGTGCGCAGGAACTCACAGTCATCTGTAGCCTGTCGCCCCAGGTGCTGCTGCTCTGCCAGCTCTGCCTCCAACTCACTCACACGGCCCTTCAGCTGCAGCATGGTCCGATGGCTCTGTGAGGGACACCCCAGGTGAAGAGCCTGCTACTGCAAGGCTGCCCTATGGGGCACCAGGCAGGGCAGGGATGACTTATCTCGTTGCTGGCACTGATCAATTATGGTTGATCGCTATACCTTCAAGTTCCCTGACCCACAGATCCAACCAACCAGACAGAGAACCTTTTATCATTTTTGTTTTGGTGCTCTGGGTAGGGAGCCTAGGGTCTTATTCATGTTAGGCCAGTAGCTGTTCTGCTGAGCCATAACCTCATCCCCTCACTGGGGGATTCTAGGCAGATGCTCTACACTGAACCACACACCCAGCCCCTTACCAAGGGATTCTAAGCAGGTGCTCTACCACTGAGCCATACCCCAGGCCCTTACTGGGGGATTCTAGGCAAGTGATCTACTGCTCAGCCACTCCTCCAACCCATCCCCAATCCTTGACTGAGGGATTCTAGGCAAGCCCTCCACCAATGAGCCATGCCTCCTGCCCCTTCCTGGGGCATTTTTGCCCAGTTCTTTACAACTGAGCCACACTTCTAGGCCATCACTGGTGAATTTTAAGCAGGAACTCTACGACTGAGGCATATCATCCACCCCTCACTGAGGGATCTCGGAAGGTGCTCTATCACACTCCAAGCCCTGCACTGTTGGATTTAGAGAAGTTATCTATCATTGAGCTATGTCCCCAGCTCCCAAATCAACCTTTCTCAAGGACCTTATGAGAAAAATTGGTCTTCCTCATTACCGTCAGAAAGCCAAGCAATAATCGTGGCTCACAGGGACACCGGTACCCAGCTTAACTGCCATCCTAAAGTGACATGTCATGACAATGAATTCTAATTTAGACCTTGAGATGACCAAATTCACTGGCTTTGTTGTGCCTATTAATTAACCCATCTTAGGATGGGGTCCAAGTAATACCATGAGACATGAATAATGACAAGTGCCCCACGCGGGTGAAAACCGAGTGCGGATGGATCTGAGCACGCACCTCAGTCTTCACGCTGTCCAGCTGTCCTGTCAGTCCACTGATATCTCTGTACAGGCGTTCAATCAAGTGGTCCCTGTGAAGAAAATAAGAGGCTTGGTGTCACTATGCTCCACCTGTCCTCCAGGTAAGCCGACAGACTGGAAAAGGAAGGGAAAGCTGGTGTTAACTTGGGGTCATGCTCTTAAACAAACAAAACAACTTTATTTTTGTTACCAGATAGCCAATGGAGGGTGATTTGTTCTCCCTCCTCACCACCCTTCCCCTGGTGTACTAGAATTATAGACATTAGCTACTGTACCTGGTTTACGTGGTACTGGGGTATCTCTGCAGGCTAGGCATGGGCTCTACAAATGAAACCACATCTCCAGCCGCACAGATAACAATACTTCTTTGCAGCATAAATTGTACAGTCAACTTTCCTCAGCTGTGGGTTCTATATCTGTGCATTCAACCCACTGGGGATGGAAAATATTTGTGGAGAAAAAAAATTGCATCTACATTGACTATGTATAGACTTTTATTCTCGCTATTATTCCCTAACTAAACAATATAGAAAAACGGTCTGGTAAGATGGCACAGAGGATAAAGATGCTTGCCATCAAGCCTGACAATCTTTGTTAGGTCTTGGGGACCCATATGGTGGAAGTCGGGGACTGATCCCTGCAAGCTGTCCTGACTTATACACTAATGCCACAGTGTACATGCAGCCATTCCCTCCCAGCACAAAACTTACAGGTGTATAAAAAGAAACCAAAAACCACAGAAATGAACACTGCAGCAGTGGTTATATCATATCAGGCGCAATGAGTCACGTGGAGGTGATTTAAAGGACACAGAAAGGAGGAATGTGGGTTCTATGAAAATACTATCCAGTCTTACAGCGGAGTCTCACACAGTGGCCGAACTTTGTGTCTATGGAGGTGATTCTGGAACCGATAACCCTTGGACACCTAGGGTGACTGTGCTCTACACATTAGGTGTCTTACCCTGACACCCACAGGGTCACAGTTACTGATCTGGGATAGTGGGGGGGATCATATTTGGAGAGGGGTTATGTGTGTCTCTCTGCCTGTCACTATATGCACATGTGTGGAGGCTGGGAGAGGGTGCTGGATCCCCAGGAGTTCATGGGTGCTGGGAAATGAACTTTAAGTAGTAAAGGCCCTTAGCCACCAAGCCATTACTCTAGCCCTGGAGGCTGAACGGCAGGCCTTAGGTATGCTGTGAGTATTCCACCACTGAGCCATATCCCCAACTCTTCCTTAAAAGCCCCTGTATTAAGGGTTCTTAGTGTGGGTGAGGTGGCTCTGTAGGTGAAGGCGAGTACTCCCAAGCCCAACAATCTGAGTTTGAAGAGCAGAAGTGACTCCATGAAGCTCTCAGACTTCCACAAGTACAACTTGGCACCCCACCCCCCCTCCCGGACCAACAGCACATACATATAATCTCACAAAACAAATACAACACCAAAAGATCTTTTTCTTAAAGGAGTGCTTTGCCAGAGATATGGCTCAGTCATCAAGAGCACTGGCTCTTTCAGAGGACCCAAGCTCAGTTCCCAGGACCTACATTGGGCAACTCGGAACTGTTTGTAATTATAGCTCCAGGAGATCAAATACCTATTTTTTACCTCCATGGCCACACACACACACACACACACACACACACACACACACACACAATCTATACAGGCACACATAAACAAGTACGCTAGCACACACATGTAATATGTACCTACCACCCCCGCATATATACAAGCACATACACATGCACACACACATATTTAAACATACATATACATATACAATGACACACACAATCAGACACCAAACAAACAAAGGAGGTGGAGGGCAAGTATGGAACGACATTAGAGGTTGACTTCTGGCATAAACACACATACGTGTACAAGCACGCAAGCACGCACGCAGGCACGCACAGAATTCCTTCCTCTTGGAGTAGCTGCTGTAGTGCAGACCACGCTTAACTTCATTTCTCAACCACGTGTTTCCACCCAGCATGGACTCACTTCTCATCCTTGTTCACACCATTTTGATTGTTGAAATTGAAGGGGTCACTGCTCAGGGAGCTGCCGAAGATGTCGTCAAACTTGTTGTCAAACAAATTCTGCAGTGATTGGAAGAGTGCAGGGAGAGCAAAGACCAAGTCAGAGACCTAGAAAACTGTCTGGGTGTGTGTGCGGGGTGGGGGGGTTATCATATGTAATTTGCTATTTTATTTTTCAGACGGGGCACACTATGTAGCGTAGCGCTGGCTGGCCTGGAACTCACTTATACAGACCAGGCTGGCCCTAATCTCTTAGAAATAACCCGATGCTTCTAGCCCCTGAGCACTGGAATTAAAGTGTATGCAGCCATGCCTGGCTCCTTTCTTCCTGTCTGTCATTCTTTATACTTAAACAAAACTTTTTAGCCTGCATGTATGTCTAAGTGCATGCCTGGGGCTCATACAGGTCAGAAGAGGGTGCGGGCTCCTTTAATTAAAGATGGTTGTGAGCCACTTCATAGGTGCTGGGAATCAAACCCAGGTCCTCTTCAAAAGCAACAAGTACTTTTAATGGCTGAGCCAACTCTCCAGCCCTGTGTATTTTTGGGACAGTGTCTCATGACGTGCTATGTGGCTGAAGTTGACCTTGAACCCCTCCTTTCCTGCTTCTGTCTCCCAGTACTATGATTAGAGGCATGCAACCACACATGGCTCCAACAATCTCCATTTTTCTTGATTTGGCTGAGACCTATTGTAAGGAGCCTGAGTGCAGGGGGCTCAGCCTAATCTCTAACTTTCTTATGAGAAACAGAACCCAGTGAGAGTGTAGTTTCACCCATCTTAGATACAGAAGCAGGAGGATATCAAGAGCCCAGGAATGGGCAACACGGTGAAGACACCATGTCCAAACATTAAGCCTTGTCTGAGCAGATACACCCATCCAAGCTAGGAGCCTCTCCTACTATCTGTTCTGATGGGGGGGGGGCAACTGGAAGGGTCAAAGTCCCTGACCCATGGGTCTTGTACCTGTTGGGAGGCATCCATGTCCATGAGGTCATCCTTCTCCAGGACCGGCTCGCTGTCTGGCGATGACTCCTCCGCTGGGATCACCACCACAGGACTGATGTGCTCTGACAGGGCTGAGGCGCGGAGGAAGTTGGGTGGATTCTGGAGAAGCAAGACACAAGCGTAAAGGGCGCTCACCTGCCAGGCCCCAGAGCTGCGCAGAGTCCAACAGATGCACTCACCTCAGGCAGCTGGGGGATCTGAATGAGCCGCTTGAAGTACTGCAGGTTACTGGAGCGCTGGAACAGATCTTTCAACCTGGGAGTGCATGAGCATCTCAGAGGTGCGGGATGGGGTTGGTTGCCAGTCCCAGGAACACATGGGACACCTCCCCATCATTCCCACTCTCTGCCCACCTTACAGGCACAAGCTGGTGGTGGGTTGCCCAACAAGATGCCAGGATTCAATAACGATACCACAGGGTCAGGGAGATGGCACAGTGGGTAAAGGCACTTTGCTATCTAAATAAAGAATCAAGCCTGGTGACTTGTGTTTGATCCCTGGGAGCCACATGGAAAGAGAGAACCGGCTCCATGAAGTTGCCCTTGATCTCCACATTCATACTGCCATGATGCATACCCCCCCTCTCTCTCTCACACACACACACACAAATAAAATTTTAAAAATGATATCACAGACTGAGGTCTTTTCTGTTTGTTTAGCCCTGGCTGTCCTGGAACTCACTCAGTAGACCAGGCTGGAATTGAACTCAGAGATTCCCCTGCCTCTGCCTCCCAAGTGCTGGGATTAAAGGTGTGCACCACCACTGCCAGGCCAGACTGAGGTCTTTACAGAGTTCTCAGTCACCCGTGATGAGGAAAGAGCAATTAACACTGCAGATCCTGTTGAAGACTGGACAGTCTCAGAGAAGGTCAATCTGGATGACAACTTGATGGGGTCTAGGATCACCACAGAGACAAGCTTCCGGGTGTTCTCTGTGAGGGTGTTTCCACGTCTCCACAGAGTGTTAACTCAGGTCAGAAGAACTTCCTTCCCCTATGAATTTGGGTGGCACCATCCTTCTGGGCTGGAGAAGGAGAACAGGGGCCCTTCCAGAAGGCTCAGTGGGTCAAGGCATTTACTGCCAACCCCGATGACTCGAGTTCAGTCTCTGGGGCCCACAGGGTGGAGGGACACAAGTGATGTCCTCAAGTTGTCCACTGATCTACACACGCACACTGTAGCACAGCCCTACAAAATAAATGTGTGTATAGGGAGAGAGACCTCCAAGACTAAAGTGTCCCTGTGACATTGCTACTGTTTCCCCTGAACTCCAGGACAGCAAGGCTTCCAGGAATATTCGCCTCTATGTGAGAGAGAAAATGAAGCAGCTACTCACAGGAGATGTTTTCATAAGCTAGGGAAAAAAATGGAAGGAAATAAAATGAGCTGACCACAGGTCCTCATCTCTCTGGGTTGGCGCCAACAGTAATAGATGTTAGTGCTTTTGCAAGCTACTGGAATTTCACATTCCAGGAATCCAGCCCCAGGGCCTGTCTCCTAGGATTTAGTAAGTCATTCATCATAGGATGTGTACCAGGCTTCCCCAGTGCAGCGAGGAAACTAGGGGGTTAGTTCAATCCTACGTTTGTCCTTTGACTGCTCCCTAGGAAACCAATACGTGAAGCACCGGCTAGGCATTCTGAAGCCATGGTCAAGGATGAAGATGTCAACGGGGAAAACAAACAATGTAAAGATGGCTGCCTCATAAATGAACAATTCGCAAGACAAGAAATACAAAGGGACAACCATTATGGTTAGTTTGAACTGTCAATCTGATGCAATCTGGAATCACCTGGAAGAGGTCTTAACAAGAGACCGTCTAGATCAAGCTGGCCTCATTTGTCTTGATTGTTAATTGATGTGGATGTCCAAGCCCACCATGGGCGGCACCATTCCTTGGTTTTGGGCCTTGAGCTGCATAAGAATAGGGAAAGCTAGCTGAGCAACAAGCATGCCTGCGTTCATTCTGTCTCTGCTCTTGGATGAGATGTGGCTAGATGCCTCAAGTTCCTGCCTTGACTTCCCTGAAACAGAGACTGCAACCTGGAACTCTATATCAAGCAAACTCTTTTATCCTTAGGTTGCTTCACATCAGGGTATTTTATCACAACAGACATAAAACTAACATACACACACACACACACACATACACACACATGCACATGCACGCGTATATATGTATACATACATATATGTGGCTCAATATTCTTAGCTACAATGAAAATGCAAATTTAAACTATATTAAGAGTTTTTCTCTCTGAAGTATGAATGGCTATCAGCAAGAAAACAAACATGGGGGGAAAAAAAGACAAACAATGGGTGAGAACATGGGGAGAGAAGAATTCTAGTCCACTGTGGGTGGGTAAAACGGTATAGCTAGCCACAGTGGAACTCAGTATGACTTTCCTCAAAAGACGAAATATCATATGATCTGTCTGTAACATGGTCTGGCATATTCCTGAGGGAATCTAATTCAACACACCACAGAGATACCCACACACTCAGGTTCACCATGGTGCCATTCACAGTAGCCAAAACCCCATGTCCACCTAAAAATGGATGGATAGAAACAATGTGATCTAACTTATAGGATAAGGGTTTCATTCAGCCAAAAGAAGGAAGTACAAGGCTGGTGAGATGGCTTAGTGGGTGAAGGAATTTGTCCCTATGCCTGAGAGCTGAATTAAATCCAGTCTCATCTGGCAGAAGGATATAACTGACTCCTGAAAACTGTTCTCTGATCCAAGCATTAGCGCACATGTGTGTGTGATACGCTCTGCCCTGCCGGGCTTTTCTACCTGGGTGCTGGGATCCAAACTCAGGTCATCACGCTTATGCAGAAGGCACTTTACCCTAGCCCCCTAGAGTATGTTTTGATCGGACTGCATTCCCTTCTGCAGAGCCACTTACTTTGTGAACTGCTCCATGAAGCGGTCTCGGTGGCCCTGCAGGGTGTCAGCTGGAAGACCTAGAGGAAATGGGAAGCAGCACCTGAGTCCATGGAGACCAGGGGCAGGGAAGCCACTCGGAGGCTGAGGGAGGGGCCAGGCAGCCCACTCTGGCACTCCTGGCTACGATGCCCTGAGGTTTGGTAGCTAAGGGAACCCCACGGAACAGTAGGAAGCTTTTAGCCTCTGCATTCTCCCACCTCAGGGTTCTGGCTGGGCAGGATGGAGCCTGCATCCCCTAGGAAGCTGTGGCTTCATCAAACTGCAGGACTGATGGGAGTGGGTTCGCTCTCAGGTGAGGGAGCAGCCTAGGTTTAGGGCACGGTTAACTGGGACTCTATGCAAGCACTGGCCCTAAGGAGTTGGGCTCTGTGGTCCCTACACATCACAGACCATGAGAGGCTGCGCATTTCAGTTTTCATTTTATTTTATTTTGAGAGGAGGAGGTCTTGCTATATAGCCCAGGCTGGCCTTGAACTCATGAGCCTCCTGTGTACTGGGATCACAGGCAACCTGATTTTATTTAGTACCAGTTTTTTACATGGCATTTTGTCCTTGCACTCGGGTGCACGTGTGCCTCAGTGAATGTGTGCAGGTCAGAAGGTAACCCAGGGGAGTTGGCTCTTTCCTTACAAGATGTGGAAAGACCCACGGCAGCAGCTTTTATTTTACTCCCTCTCCTCCTCAGTCACCTTCCCTCCTTATCTCTCCCTCTTTCCCTTTCGGACACAGAGTCTAGCTGTGTTACCCAGGTGGGCCTTGAGATCTTGGACTCAAGCAGTCCTACAGCCTCAGATTCTCTTGTACCTGGAACAACAAACCACACCACTGTGTTATTCTCTTTGTTTATTTGAGGCAGGGTATCACACTGAAGCCCCCCACTGTTAGGGGACATACTATGTAGCCCAGGCTGGTCTTGAACTTGTGATAATCCTCCTGCTTCCGTGTGCCAACAAGCCTCGTTTATAATTGTTTTTGAATGAGTGATATAATCATGAAGTTCACGTATAAACTATGATTATTGAAAGTGATGAACGTGAGACAGGGAATAGAGAGCTGAAGGCCAGCCAAGGCTACATATGGAGACCTTGTTGCAAAAAAAAAAAAAAAAAAAAAAAAAAAATAAAAAAGATAAAATTAGACAGGGTAGAGAAATAGCGCTTAATTTCTACTCTAAAACCCCTGATCTCAGTTCTACAAGGGAAAAAAAAAAAAAAAAAAAAAAAAAAACTAAGAAAGAGCCAAATTGAGGAAGAAAATTCCACTTAAAAAAAAAAAAAAAAAAATTGACCAGAACTCAAACCTGTCAAGGTCATCAAAAACAAAGGAAGTTTGACAAGCTGTCACAGCTTCTGGGAGTTAGAAAAGAAACATTGACTAAGTGTTACAGGATCCTGGGTGGGAGCTTGGAAAAGCAAACTGGGAAAGAAGAGCGGATGTTTGAGTGAAGTGCTGACTTCAGCTGAAAGTGTGGTTTAACGTACGGGGGAGGGGGCATGCATAGCTCAATGGTACAGAACCCGCCTAGAATCCCCCAGTGAGGGGCTGAGGTGTGGCTCAGTGGTAGAGCACCTGCCTAGAATCCCCCAGTGAGGGGCTGGGGTGTGACTCAGTGGTACAGCACCTGCCTAGGATCCCCCAGTGAGGGGCTGGGGGCATGGCTCAGCAGTAAAGTGCTTGTCTAATACACACAAGGCTTCCTGTTCCTTTACTGACTGAACACAAAGAGTACCAATAGTTTCATTAATGGACAAACTTCACGCTAATGCATTAACAGCAGAGGGTTGGACTTGGTGGCTCATGCCTGTAATCCCACTATCTAGGAAAGGGGCAAAAGTAGAAGGGTTAGTAACTCAAGGTTATCCTGGGCTACATTTCGAGTTCAAGGCCAACCTAATACATATGAATTTCTCTCAAATAAATAAAACAAAAGAAATATATAAATAAAAGTAAGTTCGCCTACACTTGGTGTTTTTTATTTAGCTACTTAAAAAAACAAATATTTATTTTTGTGCACATGAGTATTGGAGCTGCATGTATGCATGTCTGTGTACCATGTGAGTACACTGCCCTCAGGAGGCCAGAGAAGATGCTGGAGTTATAGATGGTGTGAGCCATCATGTGGGTGTTGAGAACTAAACCCATGCCCCCTGGAAGAGCAGCCATTGCTCTTAACTGCTGAGCCATCTCTCCAGCTTAATTTTTGACAAAGTTGACCTGCTTCTCCTGCCTCTACCTCCCTAGGGCTGAGACTGCAGATGTCGGCCATATGCATCACTTATGCAGCACTGGGGAGGGAGGGCAGGGTTTCACATATGCTAGGCAAACCCTCCGCCAACAGAGACACACTCTCTGCCTGTAACTGATGATGTTTCTAAGCAACAGACTCTCCTCCTCTTGGGGTTTGGTCCATCCTCCCTGCTTCCTGTAGGAACGCCCTATGGCACCAAGCCTTTCTAATCCTGGAACAGCAAATTGCAGTCACCCTTGAGGGAAGAGACCCCAGAGTAATCGGAGTGATGCTGCTTCTCTTGTCTAGTCTCAAATGATCAGGTTTGGTTGGGGCAACAAATCCAGGTAAAGTCACTTGCTGCCAAACTTGACGAGCTGAGTTTTATCTTGGGGACCATTTGATGGAAGGAGAGAACTGACTCCTGCAAACTGTCCTGACTTCAACAAGTATGCATGAGCACACACACGGCAAAAACATAAATAATGAAATAAAAAGGTTATTACTTGTAAGTCAACGGTTATGAAGCATCCCTTGTTTCATATAGGTGTGTTTAATTTTATTTTTTTTTTTACCCCCCTGAGACAGGGATTTACTATGTGAACTGGGTGGGCCTTGGATTCACCATGTAGCCCTGGTTGATAATAAATTTTCCATTCTCTTCTAGAACCTCCAAACTTCTGGGATTCTAGGCATGCAACCCTATGCTCAGTCACTGTTCTAAGCATCTAAAACATACCCTTGACCTTCCTGGGCTATGAAACATGAACAGTATCTATTCATATCTACAAGTTTTTGGGTTTCCCATCATGCTGTGGGCATTCTTCAGGAGCTGGAAATGTGGCTCAGAGTAGAGCACTTGCCTAAAATTCCTCAGTGAGGAGTTACAGTAGCTTTATCTGGGGAAATCTGTATTTAAAGATGGAGATTTTAAACTATTCCAGAGACCTATCCAAGCTGGTTCATCAGTAGCCTGATTTAAAAAGAAGAAAAAAAAAAAAAAAAAAGAGTTCGTGCATGCGCGCAAGGCCAACCTGTGCTGTAGGTCATTACCTTCCATCATGTGGTTTCTGGAGATACAACTGAGGTCATCAGGCTTAGTGGCAAGTATCTTTCCTCTGAGCCGTCTTGCTAGCGCCCCCGGCCCTCCCCACCCCTTCAGCCCCTGCCAGTCCAGCCCAACCCAGCGCCTCATACTTTAAACCAGGGCACCGAGGATGAGAACTTCTGCAAACCAGCAACTCTCAAATTATACTTTTTTTTTTGGTTTTTCACGACAGGGTTTTTCTGTAGCTTTGGAGTCTGTCCTGGAACTTGCTCTATAGAACAGGCTGGCCTGGTCTCTGCCTGTCTCAGCCTCCCAAGTGCTGGTATTAAAGGTGTGTGCCACCACCGCCTGGCAAATTATGCTTTTCTTAAGGGTGCAGCAGGGATCTACTCCTGAGCAAAACACAGTCCTCCCCTCCTTGGATCAGCTCTGCTTTATTTATTGTTTTATTTAAGAAAGTGTCTCACTCTAGTTTCTCTTCAGATCCTATAAATCTTTCACCTTTTACAAGAAAGTGTCTCACTGTGTAAACAAGGCTTATCTGGAATTTATTACATAGCTCAGGCTGGCCTTGAACTGGCAGAGATCCTTCTGCCTTTGCCCCCAAGCTACTGGGATTCTTCATTGAGGGGATGAAACTCAGGGCATTATGCATGCTAGTTAAGAGCTCAACGACTAAGCCACACCCCCAGCCCCTCACTGGGGGATTCTAGGCAGCTCTACAACTGAGCCAGTCTTTTGCTGGGGGATTCTAGCCAAATGCTACAAATATACCTGAGCTAGAGAGTTCTAGCAAGTATCCTACACCAGCCCTACAGCTGTTGGTTTACTACTTTCTATTTCTCCATATAATTCCATCTGTTACAAGGGATTGGGTTGCTGATGGTTTGGAGGTCACTGTATTAGCTCACGAAGGTGTGGGTCAGGTAGGTCAGTTGTGCTCTACGTGAGTCTAAGAGCACAGGATACTTTTGGTGAATTGTGACATGGTAGAGCTGGAGGTGAACAGAAAGGACCCTCCTAAGACACAGGACTGGAAGGTCAGGAGCTAGACTGGGTCAATCTAAAGCTTGGGTTACTCCCTTCCATTTTCAGTTGATCAGGAGCCCCAGGCCCTTTGGACCAGAGGAAAAAGGCTGAGGGTGCAGAGTGAGCTGCTTGCATGCCTCTGGGACTTTGCTGAGGCTGTGACCCTGCTGGCAGCCTGCAGCCCGCATGGGATGGTGGAGGCTGTCATACTCACAGGAGTGGAGCTTGAAGAGCAGCTTGACAGTGTAGTCATAGAGGTGACTGCAGTCCAGGATGACCTGGATCAGCGGTGCGAGGCGGCACTGCCCAGCTGAGGTCACAGACACTGAACGGGACATGTCCAGTGAGTTGAACACTGTGGAGGAAGATGGGGAGAGGCTACAGTGAGGCAGCAATCTCTGCAGAAAAACACAATCAGGGTCGTGGCAGACAACCAAGACTTATTCTGTGCGTGTATTCTGTGTATATGAAAGGCAGGTATTCTATGGTGGAATATTCCTTTACAGTGTATGAATGTGTCGCTATGATTGGTTTAATAAGGAAGCTGTCAGGCCAATAGCTGGACAGGTGGAGGTTAGGCAGGACTGGCAGACAAAAAAGAGCATGCTGGGAAGAAGAAGGGAGGAGTCTGAGGAGTCATGGAGACATGCACGATGAACTTGCTGAGTTGAGAAAAGGTACCACCACATGTCAGAGCATAGACAAGAAATATGGGTAATTTAAAATGTAAGAGCTAGTTAGTAACACGCCTGAAGTATCGGCTGAGCATTTATAATTGATGTCTCTGTGCGGGACAGAAAATCTGGCTAAATTCAACGGTTGAGCCACATCCCCAACCCCTCACTGGGGGATTCTAGGCAGGTACTCTACACTGAGCCATGTACCCAGATTCTTGCTGCGGGATTCTAAGCAAGTTCTCTACTGTTAAGATATGTCCCTGGGCCCTCACTGGAAGATTTTAGCCCAGGGCTCTACACTTGAGCCATGATCCTAATTCCTCTAGGGTATTTTAAGCAAGCATCCTACCAGTGAGCCATACCCCTAATTCCTTATTGGGGGATTCTGGGTAAGTGCTATGATCATGAACTGTGATTTATTTCACGCTGAGACAGGATCTTGCTATGTAGTGCAGGCAGGACTTACCATCACTATCCTCTCACCGCAGCCTCCCAAGGGCTGGATGACAGCTGTGTGGCCTGCGAATGGCAGCTGCAATGACTCATGTGATCCATTTGACCCTATGATACCCTGAGACAGGAAACGGTGTCCCCACAGGAAATGCATCCTAAGTCTCTTGAAGATGGTCATAAAGCTAAGACGTAGTTGCGCTGAGCCCATGTGGCCATGGATGGGTAGAATAGGCACCTTTGCTCCTGATGGCCAGAAAGCTCGGTGTGTCATGACCAGGTGAAAGCATTGTGCCAAACCCCGTTGATAACCTATGAGACCTGTCCCAAGTCTGAGCAGAAACACTCAACACATTTTCTTTTCTCAAACAGGGTCTCGTGTAGCTCAGGGTGGACCTGAACTCAATATGCAGACAAAGGTGATCTTGAATTTCTGCTCTTCCTGCCTCTACCTCCTGAGTGCTGGCAGAAGTATGTACCAGCATGCATGGTTTATATAGTGGCGGGGATTTGAACTTCTTGCATGGTAGGCAAACACTCTACCACTTGTGTACAGCTTTTTCCTAAATTTCTTATTCCAGGCATCTACCCACATTACCTCATTTTATAGTCAGCTATTGGATGCCTGACTATAGGCCACCATCTTACTCCCTGGCCAGGGCTGACTATCTTTCTTGTATTGGCTGCCCACTGTCCCTGGAGATTGTATGTAACATGCAACACAAGACTTCCCTGATATCACAACCACATGTGGGGACAAGCCCATGGGTTAGCACCACAGAGCCTTTATATGTCTCACTTTCCTGATCTGCGTAGACCCTGTAAGTGTGTTTGTCTGGTGTCTTAGAAGGAGAGAAATTATCTCTGTCTCTGTCTGTCTCTCTCTCGCTTACACACACACACACACACACACACACACACACACACACACACACACACACACAAATTAAAAGCAGCTGTCTTTTGCAAAGGCTTCCTCAGGCTTCTATCTGACAAGAAATCACAGCTGCCTCCATCTCCTTCCGGGAACGTGACTTGACCCCTAGCGCAGCTGTAGCAGGGACTGTAGGTTAAGTTTCACAGCCTGGCGGGGCTCTGGACACTCTTGCATGAAGCACTATAGTTATGATCACCTACGGTCTGATGAGACCAGGGAGGAGTTCGAGAGCACCTGCACTATGCCTTTCAGCTTTGGCTTTGTGGGTGAGCATGCAAGTATGCATTTGGCTGTATGTGCAGGTCTACATGAGGGCTGGTACAAATGGAGCCCAGAGGCCAACCTCAGGTATCCTCAGTTGCTTCCATTCTTTTGTTGTTGTTGTTGTTGGACACAGAGTTTCTCTGTGTAACAGCCCTCTTGTCTTCACTTTGTAGATCAGGCTGGCCTCAGATTCACAGAGATCCACCTAGCACCAAGCTGGGCTACCCCTTCCCCCCACCGCCCCCAAGGATCCAAGTTCAGTTCCCAGCACCTGCATAAGGCAGGGTGTCTTACAACTAACTATCTGTAGCTCTAGCTCTAGGGGATCTGATGCCCTCTTTTGACCTCTGGAAGCAACTGCACTCATGTGTATATACCCCAATACAGACCTACATGTATACGTGATTTTTTTAAAAAAAATCTGTGTGCATGCTAGGCAAGCACACTACTGTAATGAGCGGTATCCAAAGGTCTAGACAGACTCCCCTATTGTGGGTATTTGTTTAACTATGCAAAGATATTTTGCATTTGTTTAATAAGTAAAGATGTGTTGCATTTGTTTATATTGCGGACTATTTGTTTAACTATGTAAAGATGTGTTTCTGTTTTACCTTAACTGCCTAAGGTACCTGACTGGTCTAATAAAAAGCTGAATGGCCAATAGTGAGGCAGGATAGATATAGATGGAACTTCTAGGCAAGGAAAGTAAATAGGAGGAGAAATTTAAGCTCCAAAGAAGAAAGGAAAAGAGACATCAGGGGCCAGAGAGATTGACACAGAAAAAGCAGGAAAGTAGGACATACAGAATGAATGAAATGTAGAAAGACCCAAGGCAAAACGTAGAGGAAAAGAAACAGGTTAAGTTAAAGACCTAGTGGGACAAGTCTATGCTAAGGCCGAGCATTTGTAATTAATAATAAGTCTCCATGTCTTTATTTGGGAGCTGGTTGGCGGCCCAAAGAAAAATCTGATTACACCCCCCTTCTGAGAAGAAAACATGCCTGTGTAGCAAGCAGCTCAGCAGCAATCACAGACAGGACTGGCTGGAACCGTGGCCACCATCCAACGCTGTCCAAAAGGTCAAAACAGCCTGGGGGAGCTTGGTGGCCAGGAAGGAGGGGCAGAGCAACTGTCTCCCTGTCTAATATGAAATAATCGACTTCAAAACTATGTGAGCAGAGAGCAGAGGCTGATATGACAGCTCTGCTAAGCAGCAGTAACAAGAGTGCTCGGCCAGCTGGAAGCCTGTAATCCCAACACTCCGATGGTTGAGGTAGGACTGCTGTGAGTTCGAGGCCAGCCTGCACCATAGAGACTTCATCTTTAACAAAACAGAGGGACTGAGCCAGCTGGACCACACAGATCAGGCTGGGAATCATGTGACTGACTCACATGACAGTCTGGGAAGAGACTCACCAGTCTGGAAGAGGTTCAGTTCGCACTCCAGGTAATCAAACATCTCCACTGTGAGCTGAAAACTGACACAAAAAGAAAGAGAAATCAAAGTCCATAGGTCTGATCCCCCTCAATGCCTCAACCCAATGCTGAGGATGAAATCCATGACCTTGTACATGCTAAGCAAGAGTGATACTACTAAACCACACCCCCAGCATATCACTAAGGGATTCTAAACAGATGTTCTACCACCAAGGAGCCACGCCCCCAGTACCTCATTGGGGCATTTTAGGCAAATGTTCTACCACTGGGTCACACCCTTGCCCTCACTTGGAGAGTCTAGGCAGGTGCTCCAATGCTGATCCACACCCCCAGCCAACAAAATCAGGTTTTCACACCACCCCATGCTCTGTCCTGCTTCCCCATCCTGAGAATTCCTGTGTGAGCACAGCTGTGTTCTTGCCTATACAGGTACACACCCCAGCTTCCTTCCAAGCTTCTATTATGAAAGATATTTAGACACTAAACCTCTCAAGGTTCCACAGGACAAGAGAGATGACCAGGTATGGTCTGGGTTTAGGATGTGTGGAGACTAAGACGAGAAACCATGTCGAAATACATAGGATTCCAGAGGGACACATCGCTAGCAGCAAGTGGTTCTGATGCCATCACCCAGGTGACTTACTCCTTATCTCAGCCCATCTCCTACCATTGAGGCCTCCCACCATTTCCAGGAGCGAAAACCAAAATCACAAAAGCTCACTTCCCTATTGGGCCTGGAGCAGAAGGATGGCCACTTACAAGTTGTTAACATCACTTTCTCCAGCCTCATCCAGCTGTCGGTCACTCATCTGCAGGTTACCCGGGAACCTGGGATTCTGAAAGGGAATTTGGACGAATGAAGACAGAATGAAGCACTAGAGGGCCGAGCAAGCAGCTAAGTGGGTGGCGTATTCGTCTGACAATGCTGCTTAGTGGTAGAGTGCTTGTCTGAGGACACAGCTTACAGACAGGGTGAGTAGATACAAGCTGTCCATATTAAGCATGTGTAGCAGGTCCTATGTCAACAACATTTTCAAGGGAGGCAGGATCAGGCTATATGACCTCACAAACACAGACCCCTTAATGGCTCCCAAGAAGGAACACCCACTATCCACTACCCATCATCAGAGTTGAAGGTCCCTCTATTGCTACATGAGTCCTGGAACACTCTATGCATGTCCTCCCAGGGTGCAATGAGACCTAGTATGTGAGCAGGCTGCCCTGCCAATCATCTGGAACCCCTTTTCACTGGTCCTTTCTGATTCCCATTCAATCCCCTCAGCCTTGGCCATTTATCAAAGCTGCTACTGTGAGCTCATGGGAGTCAAGAAATGACAGGCCATGGTCTCAAGTGTTTTATTTGGTTTTTTTTTGTTTGTTTGTTTGTTTTGTGTTGTTTTGAGGCATGGTTTTGAGACTGTGGAACAATCTTTGTACACTGTAAATATGTATTACTCTCATTGGTTAATAAAGAGCCAACTGGCTTATAGCTGGGCAGGAAGAGATTGGGCAGGAGAGCCAGACCAGGAGGATGATGGATAGAAAGGTGAAGTCTCTGGAATTGCCAGCCAGACACAGAGGAGGCAGGACAGGCACAAGAGGAGGTAATAAGCCATGCACCATGTAGTAGAACTTAGATAAGAGATAATAGGTTAATTTAAGTTGTAAGAGCTAGTTAGTAATAAGCCTGGGCTATTGGTCTAGCATTTATAATTAATACTGGGTCTCTGTATTGCTTATTGGTGGGTAGAAAAAAAACAGTTCATTGACACAGGGTCCCTCCCATGTAGCCCAGGTTGACCTGAAACTCACAATGTAGCTAAGGACAACTTTGAACTTCTGATTCTCCTGCCTCTACCTCCTGAGTGGTGGGATTAGATGCGTGCAAACTACACTAGGTTTACGCAGTGCCAGGGATGAAAACCGAGGTTTCACACATGCTAGGTAAGCACTCTGCCCATTCAGCTACATTTCCGCCTAGGTTCAAATGATCCTCTTGCCTCAGCTGCTGGAGTAGCCGATACACAAGAAGACATGGAGACAGATGGTAGAAAGATAGGTGGTTATGACATCAAGAGCTTCTAAATTGCAGAGTGAACACTGACAAGGAGGCAGAACAAGGTAAGAGTACATCTATTCTTTGATTTATCACGTGTTATTTATTTATTTATTTTTGGCTTGTTTTGACCTGAATTTGATGCCTGGAGCTACATGGTAGAAAGGGAGAATAAACTATTCCTTTCCCCTAGTACTTCAAAGGGTACATTTTATTTATTAATTACTTTTATCTTGCAAGTGACCTTTTCTTTTGTTTTTGGTTTTTTTGTTTGTTTCTCATGTCTTTATATGTATGAGTGTTTTGCCTGCGTGTATGTATGTATACCATGTGCATGCTTGGTGCCCGGAGTGTAGAAAAGGGCACTGGATCCCCTAGGACTGTTGTGACAGATGACTGTGAACTGCAATGTGGGTGCTGGGAACTGAACCCCATTCCCCTTGAAAAAGGAGCCTGTGTTCTTAACCTCTGAGCTATTTTTTACAGCCCTAAAAGAACTGGCTCTTCTAAGTTGTCCTCTGATGATACCTCCTGCTGAAATACATAAAAATACAGTTCAAAACAAAAGGCCAAGATGGGGCTGGATTGCTGGCTGAGCAGCTAACAGCACCGGCTGCTCTTACACAGGAGGTGGGTTAAGATCCCAGAACCCCCATCGATGCTCAAAACTGTTAAGTCTACTTCCAGAGGATCTGCTGCCCTCGTCTGGCCTCCATGAGCACTGCATGCACATGGTGCACATACCTATATGAAGACCACACATATTATAAACGATAAATAAATCTTAAAATACATAAGTATATGTTTGCCATTTTCCTCAGGAGATGCCACCCATTGGATGATTTCTGTTATCCTATTTGTGAAACGCTGCACAGAATGACCCCATGAACATAGGTCAAAAGTCAAAAGGTCACCCTGGGATGGTTGATCATATTGCTCTATCTATTGATTTTCCCTTACAGAGTTGGGCCACTGTACCCCTTCTTGGGGTCCCAGACTGTTCCCCTAAGGTGATAATAAAGACCAAGGAGGGTGTAGAGGGAAGACTGGGGAAGGGCTTGAAGGAAGGATGGGGTGAGGGCGTGGGGAGAGGGCGCGGGAGCCCTGGGGAATGGCTGTTGCTCACTTTGGTGTGGTACTCCATCCTTGTTCTTAGCAGTTTGAGGTAGATGCTGCACAGCTGTCCATACCCCTCGCTCAGATGTCCCTTTGTGGAAGAAGAGAGGAAGCTACATCAGTATTGAGGCAGGGCTTTCTCTTAATTCTTTTTCTTGGGCTCCTGGTTGCTCAGTGGGTGAGGACGCTTGCTGCCAGGCCTGACCTGAGGCAATCCCTGGGGCCCACATGGAGGAGAGGACAGACCACCACAAGGTGGTCTGTATGATTGGTACATCATTCATGTGCTCCCACCCATCCCAACACGCGTAATAAATATTGTTTTAAAAGGTGGGGCAGTGGTGGCTCATGACTTTAATCCCAGCACCTGGGAGGCAGAGAGAGCTCGAGGACAGCCTGATTTACAAAGTGAATTCCAGGACAGCCAGGACTGTCCTGTCTTGAAAAACAGAAACCCCATCTTGAAAAACAAAACAAAAACAAACAAAAAACCTAACTATCCAAACTAAAAAAGATGGGACAGAAAGATGACTCAGAGGGTAAAGGAATTTGCCACTAAGCCTGATGACCTCAGGGTACCATGTGGTAGAAGAGGAACACTGATTCCTGCAGCCGTGCTAAACCTAACCCTCCATTACACACACACACATACACACACACACACACACACACACACACACACGTACACACACAAGTACACATGCGCACGCACATACAGACAATCTAAAATTAAATAATATATAGGGAGTTCACCCCTAGCACTTCCACATGGAGGAAATCCTTGAGAATATTCAATTTCGATTTCCTCCACCCAGTCCTGTGTTGAAAAGAAGTAAAATCCGGTGCTGGAAGGAGACCCAGCAGACACTCCCCACGGGACCTTCCCAGAATTCACAAGCCTCCAACTAAGAGCTTAATTGAGAGTGATCTCTATGGAGGCAAACACAGGTTCTCTCTGGAGGGACCTGTCTTTGTTACTGACTTCAAAGAATTGTGTGTTCCCAGGAAAACTGAGTAGATCCCAGGGGGTTAAAAAAAAAAAGCACAAAAGGAAAAATAACTAAAATTCACCAGAAAAGCCAGATGGCCAAACAGATCTCTAAGGACAGATGATGGGATTATAACGGCAAGAGTCTCATTAATATAGCTAAAATATTGGCAAGGCATAAGGTATCTTGTAAAGGGGGCTGGAGGGATGGCTCAGCAGTCCTGACGGCCAGCAGCTCTTGCAGAGTTCCCGAGTGCAGCTCCTGGCTCCCAATTGCCTGTAACTCCAGCTCCAGCAAATGTACCACTCTCTTTTGGCACACAGATGAATATATATATTTTAAGCTATTGTAAAGGAATCCCAGCAGCCACCAGGTAGGCTGAGGCAGGAAATGCACCTTCCCACCTTCCCACTGTAAACCTATACTCCCAGTACTCAGGAGGCTGACTTCAGAGATTACAAATCCCAGGCTAGCCTGGTTTATGTATGGAGATCTCAAACAAACAATAAATCTTTAATTTTTTAACCATACATTATTACGTGTATAGGTGCTTTGTGTGCACACAGGACTGTGCACTACATGTTTGCAAGTCTGAGGAGGCCAGAAGAGGTCACTGGATCTCTAGAGTTATAAGGTGGTAGCGAGCCATCATGTGGGTGCTGGGAATTGAATTCTGGTCCTCTGGAAGCGTGTTTTTTTTTTTTTTTTTAATTTTGAGACAGGGTTTCTCTGTATTGTTTTGGAGCCTGTCCTGGAACTAGCTCTGTAGACCAGGTTGGCTTCAAACTCACAATGATCCACCTGCCTCTGCCTCCACAGTGTTGGGATTAAATGTGTGTGCCACCAACACTTGGCTTCCAAACAAAGAATTAAAAGTGCAATCAATGTATTATGACCACAAAGGGCACAAGTACAATGGCAAGTGCCCACGAGGGATCCGAATTCCAAGATATGGAATCCATGTCCCCAGGACAGACAGGCTTTGGGGACTTGGAATTTGCCTGGAGCTTCCAGGGACTCAGGCAAGACAATGTGGGGACATCTTCAGCTCACCCCTAAGCCTCTCAGAGTTGAGCTGGCTGGTGATGTGGTTTAGATGGTTGAGTGACTGCTTTCCCCAGCTCTGGATAATCTGGACTTGGCCATGCACCTACAATCCCAGCACACGGGAAGGAGAGCCAGGATGGTCATGAGTTCTAGGTCAATCTTAGCCACCCAGTGAATTTGAGGCTAGCCTGGGTTCCTTGAGACACTGGACCAAACCAAACAAAAAGGCAGGAGATAACTTGTTATATCCCCTTCTCTGGGGATGAGGAGTAGGGCGCCCCCCCCCCATGCATTTCTATACTCACCCACATCCTGCTCATGTCGCTTAATTCATTTTTGTATCTCAGAGAGTCTTTTAGCACCTAGAAAAGAAGGGAAGAACCATGAGAGGAGACACAGGTGGCCAGAAACAGTCTACCTGGGCCTGGGGTGGGGAAGAGACCCATCACAAGGGATGAACTCACCTCCTGTGGGAAATCAAAGATGAGGGGTGTGGCAACACAATACACACTGTGTGTGTGTGTGTGTGTGTGTGTGTGTGTGTGTGTGTGTGTGTGTGCGCGTGCGTGCATGGGTGCAGGTGCCACAGCATACATGTAGAGATCAGTGAACAACTTTCAGAAATCAGTTCTCTCCTCCTACCCTGGACTCCTGGGATTTTCTTGCTGGCTTACACTTTTGATAGGGGACAGGAAAGATAATGGGGGACTTCCATATTCTATATTATAAAGACACTCACACTCCGTACTGTTGAAAGTAATCAGTACATATACAGTGGTACTGGCTTTGAACAGACACGGTTTATTTTGAGTGTAAGTAACACCGCCCCCTGGCCCAGGTGCCTTTGGAACAGGTTGACACCAGCAGACACTGACCTGACTAAGTATTTCAATAAACATTTGAGCCAGACACCCATGAGAGAGTGCAATGGATGACAATGCGAGAGACACAAATAGCAGAAGTGGGATTTTTTAGCCGGACACTGGTGGTGCACGCCTTTAATCCCAGCACTCGGGAGGCAGGGGCAGGCAGATCTCTGAGTTCGAGGCCAGCCTGGTCTACAGAGCTAGTTCCAGGACAGGCTCCAAAGCACAATACAGAGAAACCTTATCTCGAAAAACCAAAACACACAAAAAAAAAAAAAAAAAAAAAAACGGGATTTTTTTTTTTTTTAAATCAGAAATATGGCTGAACCCTGCAATGATCGACAGCCTTTGTCTCCAACCCCTTCTCCCTGTATAATCTGCTGGTTTAAGATGAGCTAGAGGACATGGTCTTCTCCAATTGCTGACTCTCTGAATAAAATAGTGTTAAAGATCCAGTTCCCAGGGCTGTAGTGATGGCTCTGCAGTTTAGGGTGTTTTGTAGCTCCTGCAGAGAACTTGAGTTTGTTTCCCAGCACCCACACCAGGTGGCTCACAACATCTTGGGAATTCCAGCCCTCTTTTGGCTTCATTAGGCACCTGGACACACGTGGCATACACTTGCATTGACACACACATATAAATAAAACATATTTTTAAAGCTTCAATTCCCATCTCTGCTTGCTGGCATCCTGGGGCACCAGGAACGGAAATCAGTTTCACTCCTCGCCCCCTGCCCCACCCCCACCCCACTCCGCATGCACCATCGGCCTCTTCTGCAGCCCCAGGGACTCACATTTGGATGTCCGTCTCGGAGGAGCTTGTGGAAGACGTGGCAGAACTTCCAGCACAGCATGGCATTGCTGGACAGAGGCAGCCGGTTGACCACAGACCAAAACGTCTGAGCCCCTTTCTCATGGTGGGTGCCCAGGATGCACGGTGAGGGGAGTTAGGGAAAGCAGGGGCCTGATGGGTGGTGTTGGCAAGGGGGGGGGGTGAGGTGCTGCTCAATGCTGAGACCCCACACACAGTTTGTTGGAGGGCCCTGGCAGTTTGGAGGCTGAGGGCATTAAAATACCTTGCTCTCTATTTTATAACAGTCTTCCTTAAAAGGAATTGTCTTTTTAAAAATTATACTTAAATTTATTTATGTATTAATTTGTGTCACATAGGTACGTGTGTAGAAAGTTGGAAGGCAGCTTGTTGGGAGTTAGTCCTACATGGGGTCTTGAGGATTAAACACAGGTCCTCGGGCTTGACTGCAAGCTCCATTACATCGGCTGAGCCATCTTACTGTCCCCTCACCTGTCTTTTTGAGACTGGGTCAACATTTAAGTAGCCCAGGTTGTTCTGGAATTAGTATGTCAATAGAGGATGACCTTGAACTTCTGACCCTCCTATCTCCACCTCCAGACTTCTGGGATTACCGGGGTGCAGGACCACACCTGGTTTCTGTGATGGTGGGGCTGGGCCTGGGGGCTTTGTGCATGTTAGGCAAGCACCTTGATAGCTGAGCCATACTCAGCTCCCTGCCCTCCAACACGTGGCAATCACCCTGCTTCGTCCTCCCAGTGGCTGAGATTACAGGCACGTGTCACCATGGTCCCCAGAAATGTGTCTCTGGACCAGGGTGGTCTCTGGGTGTAAGTGGAATCCTTATGTACACTGTAAATTACCCTGTGATTGGTTAATAAAGAAACTGGCTGGCCAATAGCTGGACAGGATAAGGTTAGGCAGGAAAACCACACTAAGAAAACTGGGAAGAAGGGTGGAGTCAGGAATATATAGAGAGAAAGAGGGATAAAAACAGAGAGACAGACACAGAAACTAGATGAACATGCCATGTTGAAAGAAGGTGATACCACATGGCAGAAGGCAGATAAGAAATATGGTTAATTTAAACTATAAGCGTTAACTAGTAACAAGCCTGAGTGATCAGCTGAGCATTTATAATTAATACTAAGTCTCTGTGTCAGTTATTTAGGAACTGGCGGGAGAGGAAAAAAAGCCCACCTACATTTGGGAGATTTAGTAGGACTCTTGGGATCAGGGCAACCATCATTTCTTTTTTCTTTTTTTTTAAACATGTACATCAGTGTTTTGCCCACATGTGTGTCTGTGTGAGGGTGTTGGATCCTCTGGAATAGGAGTTATAGATAACTGTGAGCTGACATGTGGGTGCTGGGAGTTGAACCGGTGTCCTTTGGAAGAGCAGCCAGTGTTCTTAACCCCTGAGCCATCTCTCTAGCCCATTGCCACCACCCTAACATGTGGATTTTCTTTCACTTTTGTTTTGCTTGCGATTATTGTTAACATGCCTGTGTGAATGGAGCACATCACCAAACCTGTATGGATGTTGGGGGACAGGCTTCCTTTACCCACTGTGGATTCTCAGAACCAGACCTGGGAGGTCAGTCTTGACCAGATTTGGCCTGCTGAGCCAGCTCAGGAGGCTTGTATACATTATTAAAGTGAGTAGTAGGAGCTGCGCATGGTGGCACACACCTACAATCCCAGCAGGATTAAGACGCAGAAGAATCCCAATTTTGAGAGCTCAAAACCACCACCATCAAGAACCATCAATACACAAGTAGAGGCTGGAGAGGCAGCTCAGCAGTTAAGAGCACTGGCTGCTCATTTTTCTAAGACTCTGGTTTGATTTCCAGCACCCACACAACAGCTCACAACTGTCTGTAACTCCAGTTCCAGGGGATCCAATGCCCTCTTCCAACAATCATGTACACTGCAAGCATGTGGTATATAGACACACACAGGCAGGCACGCACGCAAGCAAGCAAAACACCTAATCACACAATAAATAAACAGGCAAATAAAACCTTTAACTATAGGCCAGCTGGTGAGGAATTTGCTAGTATGCATGAAGCCCTGATTTTCCCTCTGGTACTGCATAAAAAACGAGCATGGTGGAACATGCCTATAATCCCAGAACTCAGGAGTTCAAGGTTACCCTCAGCTACACAGTGAATTTGAGGCCAGCTTGGGCTACATGAGACCCTGTCTCAAAATAAATTTAACCAGCTAACATAAATGAAAAAAAGAAATAAAAAGGGAAGGACATGACTGGTCCCAGGTTTTGGCATCAGATATGAATGATTGATGGATGGATGGACAGACAGACAGACAGGAGAGGACATGACTGTCCCTAGGTATGGTGGAGGAGAAAGTTTATTGTAGATAACAGGGAGAGCATAACCAGAGACGGGGACATCTGGGAAAGTTCAGAGTAGACATGACCAGACTAAGCTGAGCCAGGGGGAGCTGGGGGTAGAAGCAGACCAAGAGGCCAGGAGGGTGAAGAATAGATGAGCCAAAAAGGCCAGATAACCAAATGGTTAGATTATATAAGAAGGGCATCTAGGGGAAGGTATCCCAACCTATGGGCTGGAGGGTTCAGGGGGTATGTAGGGAGAACCTGATGGCCAGGTCCAATGTTGTATGCTAATGGACACCTCAACTAGTCATGTGTCCTGGGTTTAAGACTTAACTAACTAAAGACATACAAAAGGCCTGGGCTGGATGACCTCCTGTGTCCCTCCAGCCTTACCAGGCTGCGGTTTCTATGACTAGTGCTCTCTGGGTATGTAGTTAGACCTGAAGTGGCTTCCGCCTGCAGGCTCCTGTCCCAGGCAAGGGTTACTTTTCCTGTTGCCAAGCAAGAAGCCTCTTCCTGACCTCAGTTCCCACCATTTGACCCCCTTCCAGGGTCAGCCTCCCAAGGATCCCATCCAAAAGGATATTCCTGGCATGTTTTTCCTTCACGGCCACTTCCTGCGTATTAATGGCCTTATTGACGCTGACAGTCTGCAAAAACAAGATGGGGGAGGGTTAGAAGATGAAATAAATAATCCTCTGAGAGTGGCAGAGACCCTCCCAACCTCCCGCCCCTTCTTCCTCCCCCCCACCCCCCCACCCCCCACCCCCACCTCCAATGATCCTTGGGGTTCCTGACTGCCCTGAGACCATTCAGGGCCCTCTAGATCCTCTATGGGTACCCAGCTTGAGGGAGGAGGGGCAGAGGTGGGCAGCGCTCCCGGACCAGCTGTCCCAGGCTGTCCCAAGGGAGCAGGCTTTGCTGCCTGGCATTGGCTGTGCCCAGCTGCTGCACCCGCCTGCTACTCGCTGGCTTGGCACAACAGCATGGTAATTAAGGGGCCACACAAAGGAAGGCTTTTTCATCCCCAGGGAAACATTATTCCTCAGAGTACAAGAGGAAGCGATGCTGATGTCAGGGAGCCACTGTGGCCTGAGCCCAGCCAGCCAGCCATCCCTCTGCCACTTCTCAACCTTCCCACCGAGGACTGGCAAGAGGGTTCCGTGGGGAAAGGTGCTTGCCCAGCAAGCCTGACAATCACAGTGCCATTCCCAGGACCGCTATGAAGACACTATGAAGGGGAGATCCCAATCCACAAAAGTGTTCCCTGACCTTCACATAAGAGCTGCAGCATGTATTTCCCTCCCACATAAGAAACAAAACTTCTATGGGCTTTCCCTGGTCTTCCATCCACTCTTGGTCATTTTCCAACTCAAAGCAAATCCCTTTTCCTTCCTTAATTGCACGGAAGAACACAAAATTATTCCTTTCCTGTTGTTTTCAAAATCACGACTCTCATGCTAATCTTAACAAAGTCCACTGACAATAACGAGCCCAAGTGTTAAATGGTATCATCACGTAGGCTACTTTGTTGTTGGAGTTTTTTAAAAGGTTTATTATTTTTTGAAATTACATGAACGTGTGTGCGTAACTGTGGGTATGCGTACATGAGTGTAGGTGCTGGAAGAGGCCAAGGGCATTGGAGCTAGAGTTGTGAACCGCCTGACGTGGGCATTGGGAACTGAACTCCAGTATTCTGTAAAAACAGTGTGTGCTCTTAATCTCTGAGCCACCATCCAAACCTCTGTTGTTTATTTTTTCCTAAAAAGTTATTTATTTATTTATTTATTTATTTATTTATTTATTTATTCATTTTGTGCGTTGTGGCAGTGGGGGAGGATGCCTGCCTGCCAAAGTGCACATATGTAGGTCAGAGACCAACTGTGGGAGTGGACCCAGGGATGAAACTCAGATCACAGGTTCAGTGGTAAGCATCCCCAATCACTGGGCCAAGTGCTGACTCTATTTATCTATTTATTTGAGGCAGAGTTTCACTAAATTGCCTAAAACTTTTCACCCTCCTGCTTCAGCCTTATGGTTGTTGATATTTTTTCCTTTTAAAAAATATTACTCGGGACAGGCAGTGGTGGCACATGCCTTTAATCCCAGCACTTGTGAGGTAGAGGCAGGAAAATCTCTGTGAGTTTGAGGACAACCTGGTCTACAGAGAGAGTTCCAGGGCAGCCAGAGTTACACAGAGAAGCCCTGCCCTGAAAAACCAAAATGAATGAATGAATGAATGGATGGATGGATGAATAAATAAAATTACTGGGGAGGGTGCAGGGGTGGGACGTCTGGAGAGAAGACTTATCACTTAAGAGCACCCACTGCTCTTCTTGTAGAAGACCCAAATTCCGTTCCCAGAACCTACATCAGGGAGCTCACAACCTCCTCTAACTCCAGCTCCAGAGGATCTGATGCCCTCTGCTGAATTATAAGTGCATCTGTGGGCACGCCTGTGCATGCATGCACGCGCGCGCACACACACACACACACACACACTGTACTAAAGGGCATAAATCTGCCATCATGTTATAATTCTTTTATTTAAAAATTTTATATGCACATGGATAACCCCCACATGTATGTCTGTGCACCTTGTATGCATTGCCTGAGGAGGTCAGAAGGCAGCATTTAGATCCCTTGAACTGGAGTTACAGACAGTTGTGTGTCACTATGTGGGTGCTGGGAATTGAACCAGGGTCCTCTGGCAGAGCAGCTACTGCTCTCCATCCCCAACACAAGGTTTTCACGTACCCTTTTGCTTGTATTTGGTTTTCTCGTTGGAAAATATTTTGACCTTCTCCAAGCAGAATGCAGAACTAATTTGTCCTTTTTTCTCTTCCTTTGGTACGTGGGGTTGAACTAGGGCCATGCACATGTTAGGCAAGTGGCCCACCACTGAGACACATCCCCAGCCCTCTCTGTTTTGCTTTTAGACTTTTGAGGCAAAGTCTTACAAAGTTGGCAGACCCTGAATGAACTCTGTAACCCAGACAGCTATTAATCTAAGACCTCCTCCCTCCACCCCACCCCTGCCTTAGCTTCTTAGAGTAGATGGGATTACAGGTCTAGCTCCATATAGTCATATCAAATTGTGTATGTATGTATGTACGTGGGCTTATCAACACAGGGTTTCTCTGTATAGTCCTGGCTGCCCTAGAATTAGTTCTGTAGACCAGACTGGCCAGGAACTCACAAGGATCCGCCTGCCTCTGTCTCCCAAATGCTGGGATTAAAGGCATGCACCACCACCACAACTTAGCCGATGTTTTTCAGGGGCAGGTTTCCAGAATACAAAGTCAAAATAGTTCATCTAGGACTGAAAAGGAAGCTCAGTGGATAAGAGCACTTGCTGCTCTTACAGAGGACCCAAGTTCAATTCCCAGCACCCACATGGTGTCTCACAACCATCTATATCTCTAGTTCCAAGGGATCCAATGGCCTCTTCTGTCTCTGTGGGTACCAAGCACGTACACAACAAACACATACAGGCAGACAAAGCATCCATACATGTCAATTTTTTTGTTTTGTTTTTCTAAAGTCTTTTTTAAACCTTTGATTATGGAAGCACCCTAACATATATAAATACATCCTGGATGGCCAGTGTCAAACTTGGCATGTAGCTAAGAATGACCCTGAACTTCTGGTCCTCCTGCCTCCGAGGATGGGTGTCTCCAGTACTGCTTTACAATGCTGCTGGGACCCCAGACTTGGAGCGTGCTGGACACGTGCTCTACTAACTGAGCTACAGCCCAGCACATTACAACTTCACTTGCAGGAGATGAAGTGGTACCTAGTAGAATGTCTGTAAACCTAATACTTTGGAGGTAGAGGCAGGAGGACCTCTCGATCTTCACAGCTCCCCTCAGCTCCCCAGGGCTTCCAAAAGGCCAGCCTGCACTACATGGGATCTTACCTCAAAACAAATAAACAAAAAAAAAAAAAGGGTGACGTTGAGGACTTCTTTCAGCTACAACCTGCAGAACTTCCCCTTGACCGCCATCAACCACTCACCCCTCACTCCCTAGATCATTTTACCTGTCAGTCTCCTCTCTGGGTGACTGAGAAAGACAAGGTTAAAGCCAGATGAGGTCCCCACTATGTAGGAGAGGACAGTAGTTTTAAGGACAATGTCACCCACGCTGGGGACCCCGAGAAGGGCAGGGGCTTGCTGCAAATGAGGTGGTTTTCTTTAGTGCTGTATTTAAGGGGTCCACGCCTGAGTCCAGCACAACTGAGAAAGATCTGGTATATTGTGGCTCACAAGATGAAGATGCACAGGCCATCGCGGTGGGAAAGCACAGTGGCAGCAGGAGCGTGAGGCAGCTGTCACGCGGCATCCACAGTCAGGAAGCAGAAAGGGATGGATGCTGATGCTGAGCTTACCCCCCCCCCCCGAAAGAATTTCTCTGTGTAGCCCTGACTGTCCTAGGGCTGGCCTCAAACTCACAGAGCTCCGTCTGCCTCTGCCTCCCAAGTGCTGGGATCAAAGGTGTGCACCACCACCACCAACCAGCAGCTCACTTCTTTTTATTCAGTCCAGTAGGAAGGTGCCCCCATATCAGAGTGGGTTTCCCCGTCTAAATTAACTCAGTCCAGAAACTCCCTCACAGACAGATACAGGGCTTGTCTCAGTTGATTCTACGTCCTGCCAAGTTGACAATAGATATTAACTACCCAGTCAGCATGATGGCTCTGTGGTCTAGACCTGCACAGTAGGAGAGAAACAACTCCCATAAACTGTTCTCCCACCTTCACACATGTATGCATTACTTCACCCCCAACACACACACACACACACACACAAACACACACAAAATGTAAAATAAAAATGTTAACCATCATAAGTCACTCGGGGCACTTCTAGGCCCCCGACCTAACTGCTGCCCCACGTCCTCCCCTGTGGCTGGGGGTGCTCACAAGAGTTCATTCAGTATTGCTAGTGTAGCTGGCTGGTGTACCTCCAGCAGTACTGACCAGTGTGGAGGTGACGATGAGTCAGAGCCCCCCCCATGGCTCTTGACTATAGCTCAGCTCCTGTAACTAACAGCCTCTCAGGACTCTGAGGCACAAGGCAGGTCTGTGCTTTAACATTCTCCAGTTTTGGGTTTTGTTGAGACAGAATCTCATTTATCCCAAGCTGGCCTTGAATTCACTATGTAGCAGAGAATGACCTTGAAATTCTGGCCCTCCTGAGTTCTGGGATGACAACTGTGCTCCATCGTGCACTGTTTATTTGCACAGCCTCACACATACTAGGCAAGTGATCTACCAGCTGAGTTATAGCCCCAGCTCCCCTCCCCCAAGTTTTGAGATAGGAGCTTACTAGTCCAGGCAGGCCTTGAACTCACAATCTTCCAACTCAAGTCTCTTTAGGATTACAGATATGTACCACTGGGCTCTTTAAAGCAAGCTAGCTGTGGCCCGGCTTGGAGTTGCTGGCCTTTTATCTGAGCTACTAGAGGAAGTGGAAGCTAGAGGTTCCTACTCTCTAGGTACATCTAGTGAGTTCAAGGCCACTCCAGGCAATACTAACATTCTATCTCAAAAGAGGGTGGGGATACCTCAGGGTCATCTAGAGCCCTCAGGATATCTGTCATCTTGATGCTTCTGGGGAAGATGCTGCCATTAGGCCAGATGACACCCT